ACCCTAACCCTAACCCTAACCCTAACCCTAACCCTAACCCTAACCCTAACCCTAACCCTAACCCTAACCCTAACCCTAACCCTAACCCTAACCCTTCCGTATCCGCGTCAAATAACTAATAGCGGTCGCGAGCTTAGTTTGAAGACGAAGGAGAGCCTTTTTAGCTTTCTCTTCGTCCTTCTTAAGCTTCTCACGCTATTTAAGCAAACGATTTACTAAAGAAGGTCAGGAAAAGGAGTAAGAAAAGAATAAATATATATAAAGACGCCACAAACGTCCCGTCGTAAGGACGACCGCGACGAATACACTCGCTATATTTCGAAGACCTATTATTAAAACGATAAGGCTTCTGATTCTTGAAACAATAGGTGCACGGCATATCTGCGTTAGCACCGTCACGAGCAATAGCGTAAGTAAGCTTCAGGCGTTCGCGAGTCTTTCGAGCAACGTTAGAAGAGCGACTAGATATAGCGTTAGTATATGCAAAAATAATAAAGGAGAAGGAATTAATAGGACTCACGAGTATGGACTAATGATTAGTTTTGATTGATTCTAGGGATAGAATCTCGGGAGGGGAGACATTATATTACGACCTAGTATGCGACCGCATGCGCCTCTCACGTGCACCCTACTTTTTCCTCTAATTATACTACCACGCATAAAGTATAGCTCGCGACCTTACCGTGAGCCTACGCTCTAACATCAACGCATAGCTCACTAGATCACGACGCTCCCGTGAGCCCTCACTTTCACAAACTAGTATATAGGAAGCTACGCTTTACTATAGTCAGTCTCTACCCAGCTCCTTAGCTATCAATATAATTATCTACGCAAGATCCACTATCTCGCATATAGACTGTGACCCGACCGCTTAAGTCAACGATATCCTAGTGTACTTAGTTCAAACCCGACTTCTATTCTATCTACCCGGTAGCTAGTCTAGACCCGAACGTCACAATTATTATGATTCACTTACCCTGCGCTTAGAAGAGTACTACTCTTTAATAGTTATCTATCTTAGCTATATATAGTTATATAAATATATAAGTAGCGCTCTACGCTACGCTAATATATAGAAGGGGCACGTCCCTTATATCCGCTTAGTAGTTATTGTTGAAATAGTAGAACTAGCTACGCTAGCTACTATTCCAGCTAGGTCGCTATAGAGCCGGACCCGGCCGCCTTTATTATTAACAGGGCGCCCTACTTCTCGTTAATAAAGTGCTCATAGATCCGGACTATGCCTGTAAAGAGCTCGTACTAGCTTGCGGTAAAACGCTCCTTTAATCCGGGCTGTGACGCGTGGGACGCCTTTATTAATCTATCCGTATACTTCTCGCAATCCTCGCTGTATCTACATAAGAAGACTTTTGTGCTAAAGTGGCGGATCGATTCTTCGGTTTCGGAGAGCGTGGCAGTATGAGTATCTCCGCGTGGCGCATCGGAGGATAACCCTCCGCTCTTAGCTACATTCGGCCCCGCCCCCGAACCTCCATGTCGCTTTCATGCGGCTAAGGTGGATTGTGTAGCTTTGATCAGATCTTGGCTGGTGGAGACGCTAAAATCTATTTACTCCAAGAAACATGTATCGGCTATGGACGCAATCTCCTTAGGGGTTGCGCTCTCTGGAGATCCCGGGCCGGACGTGAAGCTTGCGGGGGCGGGGGAGTAGTTCTCCGCATGCCTCGTCCTGACTCCTCACCCCCACATCGGACCAAGAATCAGCTTTCCGACCTCGAAGGCGCCTGACCCCAAACATGTTTTTACAGATGGGGAAGAACAAGCCCTTCAGTCCGTCTTGACGGACCATTGCATCTACTATCAGTTGATCTCACATCGGGGCTCGCTAGCGACGATCCGGGTCTCGACGACCGAGAACATCCCCTTTCGGCAGAATGCTAAGCCTGAAGGATGGGCTTGCCCAGACAGCTCACGAGGATCCATCCGTAGTCGCCTTGAGGGGGCCAGGTATAAGTAAAGACGTCCCCGACGTTCTTTCGAGATTGCTTTTGATCATCCCACACACTCCGACAACCCTCGACTTCGCCATCTCGTGGTCTCTATTCGCCAGACCTCGTCCGACATCACCATGCTCACTCTTGCGGCTCTCTCCCTCCTCTCTGTGGCTACGGCCCAGAAGGTCGGATCTGACACTCCCGAAGTCCATCCTTCCATGACCTGGTCCAAGTGCACCAGCTCTGGCTGCCAGCAGGTCAACGGCGAGGTCGTCATCGACGCCAACTGGCGTTGGACTCATGACAGCAGCCTCCAGAACTGCTACGACGGAAATGACTGGACTAGTGCCTGCACCAGCAACACCGACTGCGCTGAGGAGTGCGCTGTGGAGGGTGCCGACTACTCCGGCACCTACGGCGCCAGCACCAGCGGCGACGCTCTCACTCTTGACTTTGTCACCACGCACGCCTATGGCACCAACATTGGATCTCGTCTCTACCTGCTAGAGGATACCAACACCTACCAAATGTTCAACCTCCCTGGCAATGAGCTCTCCTTTGACGTTGACCTTTCCACTGTCCCCTGCGGAATGAACAGCGCTCTGTACTTTGTCGCTATGGAGCCCGACGGTGGCATGAGCAGCTACCCCGTCAACGAAGCCGGCGCCGAGTACGGTACCGGCTACTGCGACGCCCAGTGCGCCCGTGATCTCAAGTGGATCGGCGGCCAGGGCAACTACGACGGCTGGGTGCCGTCCGATACAGACGCTAACAGCGGTGTTGGCGCGCTTGGTGCTTGCTGCACTGAGATTGATATTTGGTATGGAATTGAACCCCCACCCCCCCTGGCTAGTTGAGAAGATGGTTCCGCCCAGTGATGGAGCCAGCCAAGTTACCTTTTGCCTTGGCTGTTCCCGTTGGGCATCTTCTCGATTATTGGATTCACAGGCCCGTTGTGCAGTGACTAACATTGCGATTAGGGAATCCAACTCTCACTCCTTCGCCCTGACCCCCCACTCTTGCGAGCCTGGCTTCAATGAATACCATGTTTGCGAGGATGACTCGTGCGGTGGCACCTATTCTGACGATCGCTACGGTGGCCACTGTGATGCCGACGGCTGCGACTACAACCCCTACCGCCTCGGCCGCACCGGCTTCTACGGTGAGGGCAAGACGGTCGACACCAGCAAGCCCTTCACGTAAGTTGAGATGTCCCTCGCTAGAGACTGCCAGATTGCTGACATGAAGCAGGGTTGTTACACAGTTTGAGCTCGACGGTCTGCGTCAGTTCTTCGTCCAGAACGGCAACACTATTGAGATGCCGGTCCCGACTTTCGACGGTCTTCCCGACAGCTCTGAAATCACCGCTGACTTCTGCGACAATGTCTTCGACGTCTTTGATACCCGCTCTCGCTACAGCGAGGTCGGTGGCTGGAGCGCCATGGAGGAGGCTCTCTCGACGCCTTTGGTCCTAGTCATGTCCATCTGGGCTGACGTGAGTAACTCCGAATCCCCACACGTCTTGAGAACTTTGACCTGACAAAACATCCAATGATAGAACTACGCCAACATGCTCTGGCTTGACGGCCTCTACCCCCGTGACAGCGACCCGAGCGAGCCTGGTAACCTCCGCGGCGACTGCCCAGCTAGCTCTGGCGTTCCTTCTGAGGTCATTGACACCTATCCCGACAGGTGAGTCTTGTTGAAAGCGCCCCAGCATCACCTATCCTTGAGGATTGACTGTTCTCTAACATGAACGCAGCTACGTGACCTGGTCCAACATCAAGTTCGGCCCCATTGGCTCCACGACCGGGGACGACGCCTCCACCCCCCCGTCGTCCACGACCACCGCCTCGGGCTCCGAGCCCACCAACCCTGGCGGCTGCCAGTCTCCCAAGTGGGGCCAGTGCGGCGGCAACGGCTTCAGTGGCTGCACCACCTGCGCCTCTGGCTCTACTTGCACCCGCGTCAACGACTATTACAGCCAGTGCCTGTAAATCAAAAGACAAGCTAGGCAGGGCACGAAGTCTTTGTGGATGGGAGGTATAGGACATCGCAGAAGACAAAATCTAAAACTGGGATGGTCGGTGGGATCTTTTTTCTTTTGCTTCCGGGGCTGCCCTCGGAAATGCCACTCTTTTGGAATTAGCAACCTGCGATAGTGGCCGGAACTAGCTGGCGGTGTGCCACTCTGCGGCTTCTTCCAGTTAGTAAGGCACTATGCGATGGATCGTCAATGGGAGACATATGATGGTCACATAACACTTCCAGACATTTCCTCCTCGTGCTTGTCTCTCTTCCCATTATTCGGCACTGGCTCAAGGCACGTGCTGTCATAGCCAGCAGGTTGATGTCCTGCTCTCGTTGGGATGAAGTTGGGCCAAACTTCCCACTCTCAAGGAAGGTGGTTTGCATAGGCGTTGGGAGAACCCCTTCTTGTCTTTGATTCATAGCAAGTACGAAGGCGACAAGAGGCTTTAATGAATTAGCTGTCCTTGCATAATTTGCCACTTGTACCAATCAACACTACATTCTAAGCAGTTCCGCCATTTCGCACCAACTTTCCGGGAAACATCACCTGATTCAGCAAGGCGGCAATGGCAGATCCCGGTACTGATCCAGACATACCAACAGACAGTTGAGTCTGTTGTCAGAGCCAACATGGTTGATACCAAAGCCTGGCACTTGCTTGACCCTGGCTAATGAAGTTGCGACTTGCATAGTCCAACATCAAGATTGGGTCTACGTATTTGGCATGCTACCTTCGACCGTGAGATAGACATTGCGTTGGTGGCGTTGAGGGTGTGCTGTGTGAGATAACTGGCAGTGTCTGCGAAGATGTGTGTTGTCGTGACCTACCCAGGCTTGTTCTTAAAATAAGCTGAACTGACTTAGTACGTACTAATTGCTTGCACTTACTGTCTCCGTCCTCGTAGGCGAGGAGCGTGCGCGCGCGGATATTTTTGCGGAGATGAGCAATTTCAAGTCCCAGGAGACGATTTTCGAAATTCGACACGGTGACAAGAAGCACACGGGCGAGGCTGCTGAGGTGATAAAGCTGCTGCGGAAACGCATCGTCCCGGGGGCCAGCAGCAAGCCTATAGTCACGAAGTAGACGAGAACGATGATGGCAATTTGATAATTTTGATGATGATGATGATGCCATGCCCGACACAGCTGGTGGAGGTGTTGACGGCTCTCTGCGCAGCGAAGACAGCGAAGCTGGCATGGCCAATCTCCAACACGAATCCGACAACGACGAAGACCTAGAAGTGACCGTCTCCAACAATGTCGGGACGTCCAACGCGAGCTCACTATCACACAGTATTTATACCCTTAGCGCAGCCATACCTTGCACCCTATTAGTCGCCCCCAGTTTGCCCAACGCTTTCTCCTGCATTACCTCCCGGGTCATCGCATTGACTACCACGACCGTTGGCTCCTGCCCCCTGTTGCCGGGAGCGAGGGCGTAGATCATCTGACCGACGGCCGTGAGATCAATCATGCCTGATTGGCCGTTGGCGCTGAGGTCAATCTCGTCGAGGATCGAAGCGTCCTCGATGGACATCTCGACAAGGCGGTTCACGCCAACATCTGTGACAAAAGCGGTTTTGCTAGCCGGTGAGACAGTAACCCAGCAAGTCGCGGCTTGACCATCTACGGCACTGCGGCCTTTGGTGGTAGCCTGCATGTCATTGCCGATGGACAGCACAGCGGCGCCGAATGAAGCGTCGGTAACGAAGATGTCGGTTGATCCGGGGATTGCGGAGGAGCCAAAGAGAACAAGAGTGTCGTCTGGGGAAGACATGACACCTTGGGCACCAACAGTGCTGCCACGGCATGGTGAATCAACGGAAAAGGCAGCCAAAAACCCAGTGTTATTGGCTGGCGGGTCACCCTTGACGGTGGTGAACAGAGTGCTCTCGTCTTCGGAGAAGAAGACGTGCGAGACGGTGTTTGTGGGGCCGACCGGCGGCGTCGTTTGTCCAAGGTCGAACGGGCGCAGAGCGTCCATAGCTCCGATGCCGTTCTTCCGGTCGAAGGGGGCACAAGACACACCGGCCGTGGCACCGGTCGCCCCGACGCATACGAGCCGATTCTTCATTGAGGCCGCCACGGTGTTGGGGAACTCGCCTGGCACCTCGACGGGCTGGCCGATCAGGGTCAGCTTTGTGGGGTCGGCTTTGTCAATGGAGAACATGGAGACCGTGTTGGATCCCGCGTTGACAGCGAAAAGGTTCTAAACCGTGTCAGGCGGCGCTCTAGAAGCGGCTGTCTGGAGTACTACTTACCATGCCTGCAACGGTCAAAGCAGATTGGGAGACCAGAGGGTCGGCGCCAGCCGGTTCGTTCGTGGACCCATCGATGCTGACAGCGCCAGCGCCGCCGGTCGGAGTCATTGAAGCCTGCCCGAGCATACCTTGCTCGTCAATAGAGACGGAAAGTACCATGTTCTCTTGTTCATTAGTACTGATGTAGATTGCTTGACGCCCCGTTTCGCAGGATTTGGTAGGATGTGCGAGCCCTAGCTGCGCATGGAGCAGGCCGTAGCTGAAGGCGAGGGTGAATGGAAAATGCATGATTTTGATATGAAATGATTGCGATAATAGAAATTGAGACAAGCCAGTTGTCAGGGGAGAAGTAGGGATAGAGAAGTGTATGCTTAGAAGGTAGATGCTGTTCGTTTGAATGAAATCCCATTGGAGAACACGGCAGGCTTTATATGCAGATGGGAAATGGACAGAGTTGATATTTCCAAACTCAGACTCGCCGTAACGAGACTTGAGCCTCACCACTTCTGGAACTTCGAAGGATAACTTCATCAAAAATTCCAAATTGGGATGCTTGCAAGGGTTCCGAATGGGGAAATATTGGAATTGTGATCAAGGGGCAGGCACAAGAGGACATGAAACACCAACTGGCATGGTCTAACAAGCCGCCGACCCCCGCAAACGGGCCCGTGCTTGGCTGAAAACCTTCATGTTGACATACCTGCGACTTACCTCGGCGTCGATGTGGCTTCCTCTGACATTTCACTATTGCGCGGCACGCGCTTCTTGCAGCTGAGTCAATATGCCGTCTAAGGGCCCCGTCTTCCGCATATTCAATCCGTCGGGCCGGTCCAAGGAAGAGAGCGTTGAGAAAAGGCGAGAGCAAGTTCGCCGCGCCCAACAGTGCGTTCCCGCTCCCCAATGTTGCCATTGACCACGACGGGATCTAGAGCACTGCGAGCTAATGTCACCCTCCTAGTATATATCGCCAGCGCAAGACGCGGTACGTCAAGGCATTAGAAGAAGATATCGCCAAGTCACGATGGCGCGAGTGCCAGATGTCAAAGGAGAAGCAGGATCTTGAGCACCAGCTGCAGACCTTGTTGTCACTCCTTGCACAAAATGGTATAGCGACCACGGATATCGAGTGTTTGTCTCGGAACACTGCAGCAGGTTCTTGTACAGGAACTCATCAGCCATTCACATCGCCGGACGGAAGCCTGCTTCGCAATCATCCAGATTGGCCACAGGGTTCCACGCTCACCTCCTCTCTATCTCCCCCCCTCATCCATTCGTCCGATGACAATGTCTCTATGTCGTCCAGAGTCTGCGACATTGATCTAGCCACGCTCGGCATGAAATTCGTCCTCAAGTATGCAAGCTCTAGTCAATCTTCCCTTATACCACGCCGAGGAGGAGCTGATTCACGATTACAGGGTCGAGGAGCCTTGCCTAGGCCATGTCCATGGCGATCACACCAGACCAGACGACCCTTCCGGCCACGCTCTGACAGTCACTTCCCAGCTCCTGAGTCTGTCGTCTTCACCGCCTCCGAATAGGTCATCTCTTTTGCCAGTACAGGACGCTCCGGCGAGTATTCTCAATCGCTTGCTCGTCCTAGCTCCGACGTTGTCCAGCCAAGAGGACGTTACGCCCATCCAGGCTTGGGATGAGCTACGCCAGCAACCAGTTTTCGGAAGTCTCGACCTAATGTGCGTCATGACGCTAGCTATAAAGTTACGCGACGCCGCGAAATGTCATGGGTAAGATAAATAGTGCATTCATAACGAGCATACTTAGTATCTAACGTACTGTAGCTTTGGCGCAGTAGTGGACCACACACTATTCACGCAACTACTGTGGGAGGTAGTAAATTCGAAGAAACTATGCGCCCCGGGCTTAGTCTTTAATACGCGGTAATAGAAGTAGTTCGATTAAATAGAGTAGGGTTTATAAAGCGCTTAGAGATAGCTAATTTATAAGCTATCGAGATCCATAATAAACTCCCAACCCGTATTAAAATCCACCGACGTATCTTCTAGGTAAGACAAGACACTAAGTTCTAGCATTGAGCCAGGTTGCTCTTCCCCCCACGGTCCCTCTGAATGCGCAGCACTCGGCGTCGGTAAGTCTTCAATCGCGGTAGTACCGTTAGCAACAGTCGTCGACGAGGATAGTTGGCCAGTAAGTAAAGCATAACTATCTCCCGTGTTGGAGTTTGTTATAAACCCTTCACTAGCCTGGGCGGTCTTCTCTCCGGTTTGGTCGCCTTTTTTAACGACTGTGCCAAAGAACGGAATGCGGACTTCTTCGTCCGTGCTCGATCTCGAAAGCAGTACGGTAAGCGTCTTGCGACATTGCGACGCGATGGGACAGTTTTCTTGATTCTCCTGGCGCTGCAAGCACCGAATCAAAGACAGCACAGCCTCGATGTCATTCCCATCACTCGACATGCCTCGGCCGGAGAGGCTTGAGCAACCTAGAAGTAAGACAATGGCGCCGGTAAACGCCATAAAGTCCACGAGCTTGCACTCAGACGGGCTTAGTCCCTCCTCGTCACTCCATAGACTCAGGTATCGTCTCAGCAGCTGTCGTGCAGCCTCCATGCTGGCGACGCGTATAATGTCACCGTGTGGAGAGATTTCTTCCGAACCGCGAGGAACGGCAGGTAAATGTAGAGTCGCAGGTGGAAGAAGAAGAGATGCTGATGCAACCGGACATGGGTTTTGTCGGAACCGTGGCCATCCGCTCGGACCCGGTTATGAAGCTCCCACCAGGTTTCTGGGAAAGAAGTTGCGAGCTCATTCATCTCCTCGTCCAGTTCCAATGTCTTAGAGATAGAAGCTTTTGTTCGCGAGTGGTTTCGATCAATGACCTTTCCAGCTATAATTGCACACCGGATAGCCATGGTCGAATCCAAGTCGTCATTTTCGGGCTTCACCTCTAAGATTTGCTGATAGTGCATGACGACGAAGCCGTACGGTAGCCCTAGGAACATGCTCATCATGCGGTCCGCTTGGTAGATAGACAACCAGAGCCGTCTCATGGCAGTGGATCGGAGGCCAGCCTGGTACAGGTCCTTTGTCATCATTAGCTTCTAGCACTTGTTCCAGGAACAGGATGTTAATTCACCGGTAAATGCGCGACCACTACTCCTCTGCGAAAGATCATCCATGATCTTCTGGGCTGGCCCTCGTCCGCATAGAGAATAGCCAGCAAGATCAGGCACTCCAAGCCTTCCACAGTAGACACACACGCCATGTCAGAGACAACGAGGCGGTCGACCAAGGTGTAGATATGTGACCCATTAATATCAGAAGCGAAGGCGAACGCAATCGCCATCTTACCCAGTTCTGAAGGCCGATTGCTCGTAGGCTCGCCTGACGAAGTCTGGGAAAGACTCAATCGTGTCGTCAAGCATGCCACGAACAGCCTTGTGTATTCGAACCCACCAGCCTCTGTGCGCCAATGCAACTTTCATGATCGAATCGTAGGACGGCAATTCTGCACGTACTGTCTCGCAAGTAATTCCCCCCTGGTCGGGTACGGATGGCTCATGCAATCTGCTGAAGGCACGAGATGACCTACGGTCATCTGCTGACGAGTAAGACACACTCCTGTCCCTGGCCGGACGCCGAGATGACGTATAGGGATCTTCCGTCTTGGGTGATTTAGAGAGCTGTACTGCGTCGTCAAATCTGCTGAACATATAATCTATACTAACATGGGGGACTTACTCCAGACGGGCCCAGAACCGCGAGGAAGGGTGCTCGCTGATCTGTGACACTGTTTTCCAGAACGTCTGGAGCCTGTGGGACGCCTAGACTCCTCGCAGACCACGTAGGGGCCTCACTGCTGCCATTTGCCAGAGAGTCAGATCCTAAGCGCTGACGCATCGGCAGTCTCGCGCCATCACCGCTCTGGCTTATGCATGGTGTGCAACGAGATTTGCAATTGAAACAGGCTGAAGCTCCTGGCATCGAGTCGCATCGAATCTTCCGACGGCGACCTAGACAAATGTGCGTGAGCTGGCGTCCCGGAGCAGTTGGGCGTGGGAGGGAGATACTTGCATTCCATGCAGCTGTGCGTCCCTTTCCGCATGGTCTTACGTGTCGGCGTCGAGGTCGAAGACCCCGATGCAGACGCAGACGTCCTCGGGGAGCCACGCACCATGGTTGCGACGCTCGGACGGATAGTCTTCCAAGCCACTGTGCGCGGTCGAAGTGATGCTGGCGGAGGGAGAGTTCCTCGGAGTTGCAGGTTGCCGCGGATGAGCAAATTTGTCCGCGGACTCGACTCGGGCGAATTGATCCGCGGACGAAATAGATCGAGACGACGTGCTCCACCTTCGGCTTGTCAGGGAGGGATCTCGTTGTCACATTACTAATGAGTATGTTTGATTTAAAAGACTCCAGGAATTGTCGATAAAGTCCTTGGCTTGTTTATTAATCCGATTTTTCGTGCGCGGACGAGCCTTAGATTTGATCTGTTTGCCTAGGTAATAGGACCTCAGTGTAGGAGCCCCCTGCCCACACGTGTGCCCGATTCGGCATATAGGTAAGAGACTCCTCGTCACGGATCGAGTTTTCCTAACCAGCAAGGTTACAATTTTATCTTACATATTCTTACTGCCTATATTTAGTCAAATCGCCAGCTCTTTTTCTCGTCCTTCATTTTCATTATTTCGGTTGAGGCACTGCATTTCGGGACAATGGCACCTCTTGTGTGGCTTGTAACAGGAGCCTCGGCGGGAATTGGTGCTGCACTCGTCGAGGAAATCGTCCGTCGAGGCGACAAAGTGATTGCTGCCAACCGACAAGTCGATCAGATGGCCGATCGCGCTTCGGAGAATGTGTCGCTTCTTGAGCTCGACATCACGTCTGGTTCTAAGATCATTGCGAGCAAAGTCAAGGAGGCCTGGCAGGTTTTCGGACATATCGATGTCCTTGTCAACAATGCCGGAACATTCTTGTTCGCCCCCTTCGAGGATATCAGGTAGGTCAGGTCCATCTTTGAGATCAGATCTCATCAGCTGACTCTGGTGTTTTGCGCACATGCAGTGATGACGACGCAGAACGCATCTTCCAAACCAACGTCATCGGTCAGCTTCACATGACGAGGGCCATCCTCCCATTCTTCCGCCAACAGGAATCAGGGACAATCACTTTCACGGCCTCAAACCAAATCTGGGGCAACATGCCTTACACGACATACTACAACATGACCAAGTGGACAAACAGCTCCTTTGCCGAATCGCTACATAAGGAAGTATCCTCTCTCGGCATCCGCTGCGTCGCCTTTGAGTGCGGCGGTGTTGCCACCCGTCTCTTTGAACCGCGCGAGAAGGATAAAGTCGCGTCGGAGCAGAACAAGGAGGACAAGAGTCCCATCGAAGCATACGTGCCAGGGTTTACCGCTGCCTCAAAGGATCTGTCCGAATGGGGAATGCCCCCGGGAGACCCAGTCAAGGTCGCACAGGCAATGGCTGACGTTGTCAAGAGCGAGGGTATGGCGGCTAGGAGAGTCTGGACCTCACGCATTGCCCTAGGTTCAGATTCGCTTCGATGGTGGAAAATCAAAAGACAACAGGAGGCTATAGTGATGGACCGGTGGGAGGACGTCACCCTTAGCACTGACCGTGACAATGCAGTGATCTCCGATAAGTTAGATCACTTTGCTTTCATAGCAGGAGCTAAATGATATCATAATTATATTATAGTGTATTTACTAGGCCTAGGCCTCTAGTTACTAGTAGAACTATAAGAATTGTACTCCTTAGCCTAGAGAAATCTATATCTAACTTAGGGTCCTGAGACTAAGTTATAGCTACGAGGTTAAGGTTTTATAGTGCACTTATCCGTAACCTCCGATAAGAGGGGGGAACGATTAGTCTCCTTTAGTAGTTTCTGTGACTCGGACAACCCGGATTGGCAAATCTGTCTAAGTAAGTCGGCTATATTTACCTATAAAAGCCTTTTACTCCCGTCGAGCACCCCGAACTCTCACTCTACGCATATATTGCTAAGTTCCAAACACTTTCAATAACTCGAGAATCCTCAATACTATTAATTTACCCTTGAACTACACCATAGACTTCATTGCAATTACGCAACAATGCAAATCAAGGCGGCATTCCTACTCTTGCTATCGGCATCGCCTATCGACCGTGTCGCTGCTGCAGGCTGTACTACGAAGCAGATAAGCAGCATGGATGTGGGTTCCTGCACTTGTGCTGGGCAACTCACCGGGTGCACCACAAACTGTGCAGTCTGCAGCGGCGCCTTTACCCCTACTAAAAAGGTGAAAAGTTGCTCTGGTGGGTGCACAGATAGTGAACACGACTGCCAGGCGTGTGGCATTTGGTTTCACACTCTCTGCAACTGCCTCCAGCACCCAACAGGGTCAACACCATGCCCGAACAGCGGGTCCATAACAAAGGGCGGCCCACCGGTATGGGTCCTGCTGAAGAACAGCGGGCAGGGTCATGACCTCGTCACCACGACAGAACTACTCCCAGGTATCGAGAAGATGGGTCCCGGCCACGACCAAGGCTGGCAATTTGCCCAGAAAGAATCCACACCAAAATCTCAGGCCGTATTCCTAAATTCAGTTCGCGCGAGAGACATGGAACAAGTCCACATCCACCTTTGCAACAGCAATCAGGCAACGGCAAAGATGCTCTCGCAGGAGAAGATCAAGAGTTCCACACAGCTCAAGCAGCTAGATGGCGACAAAAATTTATACTGCCTCGGTGTGGATCATGCGGTTAGAATAACCGGCTTCGCGGGCATCATAGCTAACTTTATGGCCAATTTACCGTCGACCATTTCGAAGCCATGCAAAGAATTGGTTGGGGCAGGTATTATTCAGGATACTACTGGTCGAACTTGGGCGTGCGCATCTACCAACAGCGGGGGTCCTCAGGACAAGTTTTGCTAATGGAGATGTAATTATTGATTGAGTTTCCTGGCTCTACAGCCTAAATAAGTTACTATCATTTCCCTCAGCAATAAGCTTTTTGTTGGCTCTAGTTAACATCCATTTCATGATAACGCAAGTAACTACCGAGAGGGCAGAGAACGACATCATGAGGATATTAGCCATGACAAAGCGCGGCCTGTCGCTTGTCGGGAAGAAATAGGGACTCCAGATATTGCCGAATTGACTGAGAAGATTGATAATAGCTGTGGCACATGCTCTCTTCTCGGGCGTCTGGTTCAAAGTGGCGCTGGCCCAGCTGAACACCATGGCGTTAGATGAGAAACAACCACAGATATAGAAGAAGGCAGCCACGTAGCGTGCCGCGTTGTTCAGGGTAGAAACGGAGATGATGAATCCGACGCAGGCCACAGCTTGAGGAATAGAGATGTGGTATCCACGGTCGCCTGTTCTGTCGCTGGACCATGCAGTGAAGAAAGCTGTGGCGGTGGCCAGAAGGTAAGGGGGCGCAGTCAGAACAAGCGTAATGGTGCGATCGCCAAGGTGGAAACCTTTGACGATGGTAGGGAAAAAATTGTTGAAGCCGTAGGCACTATGGTTGGCCGTGAGCATGAGGACCTGTGCAGAAAGGTTAATGAACGGACTCCTGGTTGAATCGACAGGGAGAAGAACTTACGAAAACCCAGGTCTTCACATCCTTCACAGCTAACTTGAGACCGTTCCAGGCACCACTTTCGCCATCCGGAACAGATACTCTGTCAGCCTGAATGCGGTGCACAGCAACAGCTTGCTCACGGTCGCTCAGGAGCCACTTGGCGCCACCTGACTTCTGCCCCGGAAAGTCGGGAAGAACCAAGACAGCTATGATAGCGGCAGCAAAACTGGCGGCTCCCTCGATGACAAAGAGCCACTGCCAACCAGCCATACCGTGCTTGTCAGAGAGCCCAGCAAATACACCAGCGGCAATAAGACCAGAGAATGCAGTGGCCAGCAGCACGCCGGAGTATAGAACGGCTGTTCGGCGGGCCAATTCCTTGCGCGGGTACCAACAGCTGAGAAGGTACATGACACCCGGGAAGAAGGGAGCCTCGGCGATACCGAGGAAGAAACGGATAACGATCAGATGGGTGTAGTTGTCGGCCGCAGCCGTGGCGGCGGAAATGATGGACCAAAGAGCTGTCCAGAAAGGGATGTAAAGCGAGGGCCGAGTTCGGGTGAGAAGCATATTACTGCAGAGAGCATTAGCGAGCTGCGAAGTGACAATGAGATTCTTCCAAGACTGGTCTTCTCACCTGGGAAGCTGCATGAGCATGTAACCGACGTTCAGAATTGACACTGCCACATTGAACTGGTTCTTGGTGAGGCCAAGATCTTCCTCAAAACTACTGAGTCTTGCTTGCCTGGGTACACGGTTAGCGTTATCACAACACAACAGACTGCAGGCCTTCTGCACGTACGCAATATTGTTTCGGTCCAAGTAGTTGAACAGGTAAAGTGTGACGTTCGGGTTAGGCTAGCTATAGGGTAGGTAGACCTAAAGTCGGTTTATGAACTAAGTACACTAGGATATCGTTAACTTAAGCGGTCGGGTTATAGTCTATATACGAGATAATAGATCTTACGTAGATAATTATATTAATAGCTAAGGAGCTAGTAAAGACTAATTATAGTAAAGCTAGGCTTCCTATATACTAAGTAAATATTATATAGTCGACGATAGTCGACTATTATCTACGAGCGCCTTTATAGCGTAGTCGACTATAGTCGCTAGTCGCTTATAATCGTCTATTCTACGTAGTATACGGGTAATATATAATAAGAGGAAAAAGGCGGGGGGTATGTAAGAGGCGTATATAGTCGTATATCGGGTCGTAATATAATATCTCCCCTTCCGAGATTCTATCCTAGAATTAGCTAAAACCCGTTAGTCGTTCTTCGTAAGTCGTATTCAGTAACTTCTTCTTTTTATTATACCTAACTATGTATAGAAATATCTATCTTCTTATAAGAAAACTAACGACTCGTATCGCGCTATCCTAATTAAAGCTATTTATCTTAATAATTTTAAGAGCGAGATACCCTATACTCGTTATTATCGCGCTAAACGCGTTTATCGTATAAGTAGTAATTCCCGTCGTTATATATCGTATATCGAAATAAAGAAGACTTATAATAGTACTAGCGTGGCGTCGTACCGTGAGTATTATATATATTTTTTGTGTATATACTAACTTATATCTTAGTAACGCGTATAGTATCTAAGTAGAAACGAGTAGAAGCGGATTTAGAAAAATCCGAGAGGGAGCTCTAAGAGGCTCTAGGGCGCGTTTAGCGTCTTCGTCGCTAACGAGAACTACTTCGAAGTCGGACCTCGGAGTTAGTATCTTATAGTATACGTGAGTTAGATAAGGAGGATAGGGTGCGTTCTTAGGAAGAGGCTATTCTTAAGGAGTAGTAGGTAGTTAGGCGTGCTTAGGAGTTAGGTGCGTTTAGGGTTATCGATTAGAGCGTAATACCCGATATATTTCCCTTTAATAATACTATCGTAATAGGTAGCGGTAATTCTTAAGGTATTTAGCGGGTTCTTATATATTCTCGCTACTTATATAGCCTTTCTATTTAATAAGGTATTTAACTTCTCCGTTTATTATTTATTTATCGATAATTCGTTCTAGTTCGTAGAGTTCTTCGAGGACTTCTAGTTCGTAATTTATTTCTGCGTTTTATAGTGCTTTTTTGAGTAATAAGATATAAAAAACTAGGTATATTCTTATGCTTAAGGGTAGCGAAAGCTTATAGTTAGTGTCTAAGATAACCTCGTCGATTTTAAATAGTCTAAGCTTTTTATAGTCGAGCTTTAGTAAGGGTCGAGTTATTATGAAATTTTTATATAGTAGGTAGACTATATCTCCCCTCCGAAAGATCGGTCCTTTCGATCTTTTCTTATTATAATATTTCGATATTCGTATACGTACGAATTCGAGCTATCTTTTTATATATTTATATAGTAAGCGTAGTTAGTTTACTTTAAGTATTACTTTTTTAGTAAGAGGTCTATCCCTTAGTGTTTTATTACTAAACTCGGGTTCGTATCCGTAGTTCGCGTAAAATAGTAAGATCTTAGTTAATTCCGTAGGTATACTATTATAGGCGAGTTAAGCGAGTAGTAACTTCGAAACCTAATCGTCTTATTTATAGTTAATATAGCACCGTAGGTATTGTTCTAGCGTCTAGTTTAATCTCTCTATCTATCTATCCGTCTAGGGATAGTAGGCTATACTAAGCTTATAATTAGTTCCGAGCTAAGCTATTAGAGCTTACTAGAACTTCGAGGTAAATATCGTTCCTCGATCCGAAATAATTTCTTCCGGAAGGCCGTGGTTAGCCACGATATATTTAAGCACTATATATGCGAGTATTTCTATATCTATTGCTTCTTAGTATAGTAGGAAATATCCGAATTTACTTATTCGGTCTATAATAACGAATATGCAATTATATTCGACGTTAGATCCTAGTTCCTTTAATTTAGGTAGCTTCGTAATATAATCGAAGGCTATTAATTCCTATAGTCTTAAAGGCACTAGTAGTAGCTTTAGTTCTCTATATAGCTTATACCGGGCAGCCTTACTACGTATATAATCTTCGTATTATCCGACGATACGTGCGACGTTTATTTTAATTCCTTAATAGTTATATATTCGTCGTATTCTCTTAAGAGTCTTCCTAACTCCTTAATATCCTACTATAAGGTGCGTATAAATATTAATTAAGATTTTATCGCGTATTAGCGGTGGTATCTAGAGTCGTCTATTCCTCGTAGGTCCTTTCCTTATTTCTATCGTATAGTCGTTAGGTATTTCTTTTCCGTGTTTAAATACTTACTCTAGTATTTTATCGTAGTATATAGTATTTACTTCGACTTTATATATAAGGAGGTTAAGTACTATTTATATATAGTTCCCTTCGTTATTTTATTAAAGTATCTAGCCCTTTGCCTTTAATACTTCGGTATCGTAATCTAGTTAGCGATTAAGTATATCTATTCTACCGTTTTCCGATCCCTTCCGATAGATAATCTTAATATTATATTCGGCTAGGAATTTAGCGTATCGTACTTATCGTAAGCTAAGTTCTTATATCGTAATAAAGTAAGAGATATTCTAGTGATTAGTATAAACCTTAGTCTTAAATTTCGTCCTTAGTATATAATACTTAAATTCCTTAATAGCGGCGATAATTACTAAGAATTCCTTATCGTAGATAGGATAGTTTAATTCTACGCTATAGAGTTTCTTCGAGAAGAAGGCGATTAGTCGTAGGTTATTATTATCGTCTCGTTAACTAATTTACGCTCCTATAGCGTAGTCCGATACGTTTATTTCTAATTCGAGTGGTTTTTCGGGGTCGTAGGTTATAAGCATAGTATTAGATATTATATTATCTCGTAATATCTTAAAAGCCTTCCTTTATTCTTCTCCGAATTAGAACTCTTTCTTACTCTTCGTAAGTTCTATAAGTAGCGCTACGATTTTCGCGAAGTCGCGTATAAAGCGCCGATAGTAGTTTACGAATCCTACGAATACTTATATTTCCTTAAGATTATTTTCTAATAAAGGCTATTCTCTAACTATATTAATCTTTACTTATTCTATTAGGATTTCGTTTAGTTTAATTATATATCTAAGAAAGATAGTCTCTTATATATAAAACGCGTACTTTTCCGGGTTAACTAAGAGGTTCGTATCTTAAAGTATTTTTAGTACCTAATAGACGTATTCCTTATACTCTTTAAGGTTTTCCGAGAAGATTAGGATATCGTCTAGATATACTATAACGAAGATATCTAAGTATTCCCTAAGTATATTATTAATTATTCGTTAGAAGGTAGCTAGAGTATTAGTAAGGCCGAATAGTATTACTAAATACTCGAATAGACCGAACTTAGTACGGAAAGTTATTTTCTATTCGTCTCTTTTCTTTATACGGATTAAGTTATAGGCTCCCTTTAGGTTAAGAGCGGTGAACTAGTTCTTACTATAAAGTCTATCTTTAAGCTCGTTAATAAGCGGCAGGGGTGTCCTATCTTTAATCGTGATATTATTAAGTTACCGATAGTCTACGACTAATCGTAGCTTCCTATTTTTCTTTAGCACGAATATAACGGGATATCTTACTTCCGAGGTAGAGGTTCGAATATAGCCTTTCTTAAGTATTTCGTCGATATATTCTCGTAATATTTTAAGTTATTTTTAGTTAAGGTTATAGAGTTTATAGAACTTAGTCGAGGTTCTGGTTTTAAGATAGATTTCGTGATCTTACTAACTATATTAGGGAATACCTATTTCGAGGGTTTCCTTAAATAACTTATTATACTTCTTATATTCTTAAGGTATATTCTTTATTCGTTTTTCTTTTATTATAGGTTTTTTCTTTTTTTCTTCTTATAGGGCTTAGTTTACTTCGAATATCTTTTATATAATATTAGCGATAATTCGTTTTCCTTGTTTATATTGTATACCCGGTTATAAAGCCTTCTCGGTTAATACTACGGCTTTTGCCTATTTTGGCTCGCTTATATCTTCCTATAAAGATACTCTAGAGGCTAAGTTATTACGAATATTCGCTTTCTTCTAGTTAAATAATAATTATCGCGTTATTATATCTATCTACGCTAACTAGCTAGTACGCTAATTAACTACCGGATTATTTCTCGTTAACTATAGGTAACCTAGTATTATATCGTATCTATATAAGTTTATAATATCGAAGATAATTATCTTATAGTATCCTTATATCGTTACGTCGAGATAATCGGTCTCGCGGTCGATAGTTTTACTATTATAATCGAAGCTTTATCCTTCGATATTAAAAAGCTTATATAATCGAGCCTTATAATTCTATAGTAGCGTATATCGGTTAACTACCGCTAATAAGATATAGTTTCCTATTACTCTACTATCTAATAGTACTCGTAGGTAATATCCATTAATCTAGACTTCTAAAACTATTTTCTATCCTCTATCTATCTCTACGGAGCAAAGGGTCTTTAGGTTTTCCTCGTCGTCCTATGCCTTATTTATAGGCGATATTAGTAGTTTTTTAACGGGTAGTATTCTATATCGGTGGTATTATCCTTAGGGTCGTATATATAGCTATTGCCGTACGACTCTAGGTATATCGAGGGGTATTATTTCCCTTCCTCTTCGTACGGGTAATATATATACCCGTAGTAATAGACTCCGTAATCTAATATATATCCTTCGTAATACCTATATATAATATATTACGTGTATGCCTTTCCTTATAGAATAAGGTACTCCCGTGCTCTAATCTTATATCGTAGGCGTAATATTTCCTTCGCTCTAGTATATCTTTCGTAGTTTATCTTGCCTTAATTAATATAGTCTCGATCCGCTTATTCGGTAGGGTCGAATAATAATCTTATACTATTAGGGTACTTCTTATATTCTTTATATCCTTATCTATAGCTTAAGGCGCACTCCTTATTCTTAATTATCTTAATGCCGAGCAATACTTTCGCGGTATTTTTATATCGCCGGAGCTCTTCTATCTCCTTTTATTCCCTAGTCTTATACTAATCGAATACCTTTACCTTAGCGTATCGTGGATAGTCTACTAACTAATATTTACGCTATATCTTCTAGTCTCGTGCGTATACTTCGGGGTATTTTACTAACTACTTTAGTATTATATATCCTATGCTAGGTTCTACGTATATATACTCGTAGAACTTTACTTTATATTTTTCGTATAGGTCGTTAATAACGCGGGTAGCTAGTCCCTTAATTAAGTAAACTTAATACCTTCTTTTATTAAGTATATATATTTTATAAAAGTAATATATATAAGAAATCTATAAGAGTTCGTAATATTTTAGTACTTCTAGGTATATACGTAGATTATCTCTTAAGACTATTCTTCGGTTTATTACCTAATTAATCCCTTTATTTAGCGTCTAAGCGGGGATAATTATCTAGAGATCTTTCCCTTGCGGTAGAGGGTCGTACCGATCTATTACTACCTTTATTTATTCTTATAGGGTTACTCGTCCGTGTAATAAGTTAGTTTCGAGTATCCGTTTCTTTTATAAGAGTTCTTCGTTACTATCTATAGAGTCGGTATCGGATAATTCTTTATCTACGTTATCCGGGTACTACCCTAGTCCTATAGTAACTTTACGTATTATAGCTAGAACGCGAGACCCGCGTAATACCTTAGGGAACTATCCTAAGTTTTCTATACTATCCCGATAGGTTAGGTAACTATCGTCGTAGTACCCTAATTAGTATAATACTTCGTAGGGTATTAGTTACTTTCTTACTTCTTCTCCGGCCTTCCTTATTTCTTTAAGTAACTTCTATCGTTCTTTCTCCCTAGAGGATATTATATTTTACGGGGGGCTAATATCGTATCCGGACTTAGTTATATTTAGCTACTTATACTTACCTTTAGGGATTAGTTTCTAGCCCTAGCTTCGTTCTTTCTTTAGGGAATAATATTCGCGCGTAAAGTATCCCTTCTTACTATAGTTATAGTAAGTAAGGTTCTTTTTATCTATCGCGGCGAGCTTTCGTTCTATCGCGTCGAGATTTATTAGTCTTATATAAGTTCCGCCGAGAGCCGTGCTCTAGTAGAATCGAGGTCGTCCTATATTAAGATAGATTCGGTTTTTACTATTACGATCGCGGTTTAAGGTATTAGTAAAGTACTATCCTTTCTTCTCGCGTCGTCGTTCGAATTATCGGTTATCGATCTTAATAGCTATCGCGATATAGCTCGCGAGGGTGGCGGGTCGGTCTTCCTTATATAGCTCGTCCTTAACCTCGTCCTTAAGACCTCGGTAGAAAGAGGCTATCTTATCTCCTTTACTCTTAGTAGTTCTAGACGCGATTTAGGTAAATAAGGCGCTATAATCCGAGGCTAACCCTTTCTATTTTAACGCCTCTAGCTAGTTCTTAGCTAGGCGTTCTTCGTCGATAGTCCCGAAAGTCGCCTTTAATATTTCTTTAAAGTTATTATAATACGCGAAGATATCTTTCGTCTCTTATTTTCGGTATTAGTAAGTATTAGTTATAAAGTCCCTAAGAGTAGGTTTAAACTATATAAGAGCGGCTCCTAATAAATATCCTACCGCGTAGCGTACTTTATCTTCTTCTATACGAAGGATAGATAGGAAGTATTATTAGTAGGCTCTAACTTAAGTTAGGAACCCTTAAAGGTCCTTAGTCGTACTATCGAATAGTCCTAGTTAGCGTAGCTTTATAATCTCTCCTAGGTCTTTGCCGGTAGCCTATCGAATAGTATTATTACTCACGCTATTTATCTCGTTTCTTAATTAAGCGGCCTGCTATTATTATAAGGTTATTCCTTCGTAGAAGGAATAATAGGCTTCGTCGTATTATTACTTATCGCGGGCCTATATATCGAGGACTTACTATAGCTACCCTTATAACTCTTAGATCTACCCCTTAAGGATCTTTATATCCTTATCGTCGGACTCGTCCGAGTCTAAGTCTATAGACTAAGCCGTCTAGGAGGGCTCGGTATACTTAGCCGTAGCCTTACCCTTATCGGTAGACTTAGGGGTTATCTTAGAGGATTCGCTAGCTATAATATCGTATTACTTAAGTACCTTAACACGGTAGTATACTAAATAAGAGCTATTAATATATAACGTTCGGGTTAGACTAGCTATAGGGTAGGTAGACCTAAAGTTAGTTTATAAAATAAATATACTAGGATATCGTTAACTTAAGCGGTCGGGTTATAGTCTATATACGAGATAATAGATCTTACGTAGATAATTATATTAATAGCTAAGGAGCTAGTAAAGACTAATTATAGTAAAGCTAGGCTTCCTATATACTAAGTAAATGTTATATAGTCGACGATAGTCGATTATTATTTACGAGCGCCTTTATAGCATAGTCGACTATAGTTGCTAGTCGCTTATAGTCGTCTATTCTACGTAGTATACGGGTAATATATAATAGGAGGAAAAAGGCGGGGGGCACGTGAGAGGCGCATGCGGTCGTATATCGGGTCGTAATAACGAAGAATAAACGGGAAGTACTATTAGTAAGCTCTAACCTAAGTTAGGAACCCTTAAAGGTCCTTAGTCGTACTATCGAATAGTCTTAGTTAGCGTGGCTTTATAATCTCTCCTAGGTCCTTGCCGGTAGCCTATCGAATAGTATTATTACTTATATTATTTATCTCGTTTCTTAGCTAGGCGGCTTATTACTATTATAAGGTTATTCCTTCGTAGAAGGAATAGTAGGCTTCGTCGTACTATTACTTATCGCGGGCCTATATATCGAGGACTTATCGTAGCTACCCTTATAACTCTTAGATCTACCCCTTAAGGATCTTTATATCCTTATCGTCGGACTCGTCCGAGTCTAAGTCTATAGACTAAGCTATCTAAGAGGTCTCGGTATACTTAGCTATAGCCTTACCCTTATCGGTAGACTTAGGGGTTATCTTAGAGGATTCGCTAGCTATAGTATCGTATTACTTAAGTACCTTAATACGGTAGTATATTAAATAAGAGCTATTAATATATAACGTTCGGGTTAGCTAGCTATAAGGTAGGTAGATCTAAAGTCGGTTTATAAACTAAGTATACTAAGATATCGTTAACTTAAGCGGTCGGGTTATAGTCTATATACGAGATAGTAAATCTTACGTAGATAATTATATTAATAGCTAAGGAGCTAGTAAAGACTAGCTATAGTAAAGCTAGGCTTCTTATACACTAAGTAAATATTATATAGTCGATAATAGTCGACTATCGTCTACGAGCGCTTTTATAGCGTAGTCGACTATAGTCGTTAGTCGCCTATAGTCGTCTTATTCTACGTGGCATACGGGTGACGTATAATAGGAGGAAAAAAGCGGGGGGCACGTGAGAGGCGCATGCGGTCGTATGTCGGGTCGCAATATAAAGTAGCTAGACTATTGGCACTAAAGTTATGTCCAGCTTGCGCACGAGGCTCTTCTCGGCGGCGGCATACTCCTCGTCCGTTAGGTCGAGAGAATTGTTGTAATTAGCAGCGAGGCTGCCCTCCTTGTTTGGGGCGTTAAAGTGCTCTAAAGAGACGTTGCCGCTAACCTTGCGGTCGCTGTCGGTCACTGTGGTAGCCATGGTCACGATGGCAGGGGATCTGTACTTGAGACGACACTTGTGTATGATGTTCCTTGTGAAGGTGATATGCGAGCGTGAAAACCGATGGCTTGCTCGAGGAGTTGGTCGGGTCGTCTCTTCAACACTTATAGATCCCTAGAGTCCTAGGCCTAAGCATGAGACTGGCCCTAAGCGAAACGCTTGACATCGAGCTCTTGACGGAGAGTCTCCAGCAATTGACCCCATACCCCGCAAGTCCCCGGAATGCGCGCGTATGGGACAAAACAATGCTGGTCTAGTGGGTGCGATGATAGTCAGACTCGTGGAATGCTCCGTCACCCGGAACGCTCCAGATTTTAGCTAGTGGGTAATGGGAGCGCCGCTATTGGGCAGAGCACACCCTAACCTCCCCACACTCCAGTCTCCACGTCTAAACTTCCCGGGAGGCGGGTCCAGAGGGTCCTTCTGGTGAGCGCAGCGCCTCCGTCGATAACCAGAATCCAGCGCCCTTAGAGCGCGCCCCTCGGATCAACCCACTAGGAGAGACCCATCAAGTGACCTTCGTGTTATCTCTGATACTTGGCTGTTTGGTCAGGTAACACTTGGCATCTAAGCATGACCGCGCCGCACAAGGGTGAATCCCACGCGACTACCCGCAATTTCCCCTATTGCTAGCAGGCACTCAATACTCACGGAGCACTCCGGCGGTCCGGGCTCATGCAGCCTACGGGCCCCGGTCACCGGTCACCGGTGCGTATAGCAACAGGACTAGAGATCACGCGAAATGAATAGTGTGTTCGCCGCGCCGAAATTCGACGACAAAGATCGTGGCACTTGAATGCACCTAAGACGTGAATAATTCCTATGTTCGTACGCTACGCCAAAATCCCCAATATGTCTGCTGCAAAGAGTCTCAAACTGTTGAACAGATTTACGAGCTGCGATGTGAGTTGTTGCGAGCGACATTGAATTTCAAATGAATCCCTAACGTTTTGAGATTGGCGATGCATTGGTCAAGCTCAAAGTTCCCAATGGCGGATTCCTTGATGGAATCCGCCTGTTCTCGCCTGCCAACAATGGTCGTATCATCGGGCCCGCCGTTACAGTGAAGATGGTTGAGTCTAGCGACAGCTCAGCCCCAAGGTTAGACAAGCACTTCGTCGATCACAACCAAGAGGGCGTCATCATGTACATTCAGCAACCCAAGGGGCTTCCTTCCGCGTGCTGGGGTGGTTTGATGTCTACTAGGGCGCAATTCCTTGGCACCAAAGGTGTTGTGATTGACGGGCGCATGAGGGATGTCAATGAGCATAGGGGCATGAAATTTCCTGTACGTCATCCTACCACGGAGATATTTGATTCGCTGGACACGCACTGCGTCGTGGGCAAGACACTTCAAGACCAAGTCTAACTCAAACATTAGGTATTCGCCCGCGGTATCTCCATCCTTGGCTCAAACACGTTCACAAGAGCCTCTACTGTTAACGAGCCTCTTCAATTTAAGGATGACTTGTGGGTCAATCCTGGCGATCTGCTCGTGTGTGACGATGATGGCTGTGTCGCAGTGCCGCTGTCGTTGGTTGATAAGGTTGCTGAGCTTTGTGAAGCCCGGGCCGAAGTGGATGAGATTACGTTTGATAAACTTCGCAAAGGGGAAGAAATGGGCGAACTTATCCAGACCATTCGTAAGGATAAGTAGCGTTACATAATTAGCATCATACGATCTATTCATACGTGCACAAGACTACCTGGAGCCATGCAAGTGTGATAACACAGATATGTATACTGCGGATGTCTTGAAGATTTACTTAACGTCTCTCAGGAAGACTCTACCTTCAAGAAGCTAAATAAATATGTGCTCATAACGAGATGCTATTTAGGTTATATCAGCTCCTCTGCAACATGAAGTGGCGCGTCGTAGTTAAGTTAAAATCCGTTAACTACATCGTGTGACTATTGTGGCGAACACAGTAGCCAGCAGATGCAGCTTGAACCATAATGCCATGACAATAGTTTAATAAAACTGACATATCTCTTCTGTCGATGCGTCGCATGATCTATACTACATGAGGTTTCCCCTAGTTTGACGCACCAAACAGACGTGCAGGATTTTGCACAAAGATCAAGTCCCATTCCTCATCGGACAGCCACTTCCTCAAGCTTCGAATCCACGCCACGTCATCCACATCCAGGAATGGAGCCTCTTTCATGGCATCCTCATGCGTTCGAACCTTCATGCGAGGTGTATGGGGCCAGTCACTGCCCCAAATGACCTGATGCTTGTTTGCATCGACACAGGCACGCACAAGGAACTCGAGATCCTCGTAGTGAGGGCCCTGCTCACTGACACGGTAAGGTGCACTAAGCATGATGAACAGATGGCCGTGGCGGATCAAACGCATGATGGATTGGAAACCCGGCTGCTCCGTCGGGTTCTGACGATGTTGCCCGGACAGCATGCTAGGCGCCTTGAGGAGAGCAAAATGATCAGTGATGAGAGGGACCCCAGCAGGTACCAAATGCTGCTTTACGAAGGGCTCCAGGATATCCCAGAACTCTGTGCGAATGGTGGTCATAGTCAAGCTCCAAGAAAGTGACAGGGCCACAATCCTATCCAGGTACGCGCGGAGGGTCTTCTTCTGCAGTTCAACATCCTCCATGGCCCCTTGAGCGTACAAGTTGACACGAAGACCGCAGACACCCGCAGCGTGCATGTCCAGAATCTCCTCGTCACTAGTTGCATAGGGATCAATGACCCCCACGCCAGAGGTTCTCGGCTTTCCTAGCCTGCCGACGAAGGCCTTAAGGGAAGTGCAGTCATCTCCGTACGAGAGTCCATGAGTGAGCACAGATTTAGTGAACCCTAACTTCTTCCGGAAATCTTCGAAAGCCTCGATAGTCGCCGCAGGCGGTGTCAAATGCCTTGATGGGCTGTAGGGATATGAGTTGGCTAGTTGCAGGTCAAATACAGTTACTCTGTGGCTGGAGAAGCAGACTTGTACTCACGCTCAAAAATGTGATGATGAGTATCCCAGCCACCCTTGGGGAAAAACTCATTCGTGGGGACTGGGTTCTGTCGAATTTGCGCCATGTCTTTGTGTTGCGTGAGGCTTTGTGTCGCGTGCTACCCAGAGGAAATGGTATGAGTAATGCGTTTAGACTGCTGAATTTCCACCGCCAAGGTCGGTCTATATGTGATTCAATGATACTAAAGATGCGATCAATCTCAGGATGGCAATTGCAACGCTGTAATGTGCAAAATAAAAATGACGGCAAGTGCGCAGTGGACGCAACATGAATAGAGGCGGGACCCTATGATTCAGCGGATTAATCTAAAATAAAGACTGTTTCTTGTTCCGTCCAATGATCAAGTCAAACAAATTCAAGATCTAACCTCGGCTGTGGCTGGCGCTAGGCGCTCTCTGTTACCTAGCCATATGTCCGTGGCGAGCGGAGTGTTCCGTGCGGACACCTCCGTGGTTAGAGTCCGTCGCCCGGACCGTCGGACAGCTCGACCTCCGGCCGCGATTATGTATTTAGTGATTCAGGCAACGTTTTTCCAATTACATACCCGGTGTGTGTTAAACAAACTCTTACGGGACATAGGCATGCCTGCGGGTGCCATTCTATGGACGTCGGCGGCAGCTGTGTACTAATAAGTACTAACAAGATCGGAGCTGTCCGTTACATAGGATGCTTGTGCTGCCAGCAAACTTGGATGGTGCGCTAGTAGGCCGACGCGTTGCTTGAAGTTTACCGCGCAGTCGTCAATGAATCGTTTTCTGTTGGCAGCGATTATTTGAAATCAAAGGATTCCATCTGCGCTCCGTGCTCGTTATTGCCGCGTTGTGCCTTCTCCGAACAACAGGTAACAAGGCCGGTATTTGCTCCAGGCCTTCGCAAGCGACACACTGCACGACTATCAGAACCATGACAAACACTATGGCTGCGTCGCCGCCGACTCCTCTGCAGTCTATCTTAGCCGGAGGAGCTGCTGGCGGTGTCGAGTCCCTCGTCACTGTAAGTAGGTCTTATATTCAAACTGCGCTTCCCTGCATGGACCATGTTTACCCTGCGCACTTGTTCCATGTACTCGGTCGAAGGCACCTACTTATCACACAACCATAGTATCCCACCGAGTACATTAAGACACGGATGCAACTTATCTCCGGGGGAGCACCGTCTGTCTCCCCACCTCGCCTCCTGCTTCAGACGATTCGAGACCATGGAATTCGGACGCTGTACACTGGTGCAGGCGCCTTCTGTGTTTCCAATGCCTTGAAATCCGGCGTTCGATTTCTCACCTTTGACATTGTCAGAGGCAAGCTGCCGAAGAATCCCGAGACAGGCAAGCCCACGACCCTTAATACAATGGTCTCTGGAGTCATGGCTGGGGTAACAGAGAGTCTCACCGTCGTGACACCGGGGGAGAGCATCAAAACGAGAATCGTCGAGGAACGATCAAAGGGAACAACGTCGACTTTTGCAGTCATCCGCTCCATGGCAGCCTCACAAGGAATCCGTGGCTTTTACCGCGGAGTGCTTCCTGTCACCATGAAGCAGAGTTCCAATGCAATCGTACGATTCACTTCATACCACACACTTTTCAGTTTGCTACAAGGTGCTCTTGGGAGTTTCGCGGCTCCCTTTGCTGGTGCATGTGCGGGTGTGGTGACGGTTTACGCCACGATGCCTTTCGACACTATCAAGACCAAAATGCAAGGTACATCAGGCAGGAGTGGTCAGAGAACACTGCACTACGTCGCCCAGACGATAAAGGAAGCCGGGATACGGGGTCTCTGGAAAGGCACTACGCCCCGACTGCTCCGTCTTAGTGTGAGTGTGAATCTTCTCGCCCTACCCATGCGAAAGATATTAAGAAGTCACTGACGCTAAATGATTAATTATAGGTTTCGGGCGCCCTTAGTTTCACGATTTACGAATACGTCCTCGATATTTCAAGGAAAGCAGAGGTAAGGGAACCTAATTTCGTTATACTATAAGAGATCGATTACCCTGCACCATGGGACACGTAATAGCCGCGGCACGGTCTAGCTTCGTATTTAGTAAAGGCTTAGTGTGAATAGAAGGATTAAGGGATAATAGAAAAAAGACATTATAACATATTATAGAGGAAAGCATATTTTAGTTATGTCCTAAATTAGCGTCTGTGAAACTTTTCACAAATAATCTATTATTTTCCAGCTAGTTTAGATTTTTCTAAAATAAATCGCTTTATTACTAAGTAAGTTATGCAATCGCTACACAGACACTACCCCGCTTTTTGGATACCCGATACGGTATGCGAGTAAGCTCTGTGAATTATCAACATTCACATTTCCTCCCTCTTGCACCTACGACTCCAATTTTGCGATCAAGGGCCCTTGAGTCTGCCACGCCCTCTCTTGCACATCAGTCCCATGGTCAACTTTGCCATTCGTGACAGGAAGAAGCTCGAGTACTGCGACAACGATTGAATACATGTCGACCACCCCAGTGGCTCCCAAGAAGGTCCGGCTGGCATGCAATCGCTGCCGGGTTCGGCGCATCAAGGTAAGCTACCTTGAGCAAACATTGAAGCTCGGGCGCAGGTCGCATCAGGACAAGCCGCCGAGTCGGAGTCGTCCGCTGTTTGAAACCATCCACGGCAATCCTCGATGAACTCCAGCTATCGCATGCGGCCATGCCTAGTGCGATGGGCAGATACCGGCATGCACCAACTGTGCCAAGGCGGGCCAAGTCTGCCTTGACGTCGATGGCCAAAAATCAGGTGTTGTGATCCCTCGTAAATGAGTAGACGCAGGTGGTTGGGCTATCCCTGTGCTGTTCGTTTCTAACTTTAGCAAAAGCTTCGTGAATGCAGCGCGCGCTCGTATACAATGGCTCGAAAACGTCGTCCGCGAACGGCTCCCAGACTTCGATCTCCTATCCGGACCGCAAGTCGAGTCAGCCATCCTTCCCCCCAACACCAGCGCTGAGAGACAAGGAGTGTCACCGCAGGACCCTGGCGATTTGTCCGTGTCCAACTCTGAGGTGTCTCAACCCTCGCGAAAGCGCTCGGCCGAGCCCTCTAGGCAACCCGATCATGATACCCTCTTCCCGGAACGTGCTCGCACCATTGCCATGAATCTGGGCATGTTGTCGCTCAACTCAGACTTTCCTCAGAAACACTACCTCGGATCAAGCTCTGGCCGTCTCTTCACAGACCTCATTGGGGCATCTCCCACCAACAGTCAAGAGTCTACGCAGCATGGTGATGCCGATCTCGCCTGGCACGCCGATGGTTCCCGTCGTACCATTAATGACACATACTTCCGGTCATTGATAACCATGCTCAAACAGGTGAGTTGGCCAACCTTTATATCACCACATGTAACCACATGCCAACCATTACCTCGTACAGGAGCTGCCACCGAAACGCGATGCCCTCATGCTTGCGCAAACCTATCTGCGTTGGATGCACCCTGATTCTCCTTCCCTTGAACCGCACTCCATCTTCGACGCTATCGATTCCATTTACGCTTTCATCCAAGACGCCAACGACTTTGAGGTCCTGCCCAACGGGTGGCCAAGCACCCTCACACCTTTTCGCTGGAACGGACGCATCATGGATCCACGTGATCTTGAAAGCGAGAGCCCTTGCATGGCCGCGGTTGCCTTCATACTGTTCATGGTCTTCAACATCGGCGCTTTGGTACAAATCCGATCCAGAATCTACGAGTTTTCCCCACAAAAGTACTACAGGGCGGCCTTGCATTTTTCAAAAGATGCATTCGCGCAGACTTCCTTGTCCTCTATCCAGGCTCTTATTTTGCTTGTTGTGCACAGCATGATGACGCCGTCAGAAGTCAACTTATGGACGCTGATTCATCTTGGGCTCGCGTATTGTGTGGAGATTGGCATTCATCGCGAGCCAGCCCAGACGCCACCCGGTGACTTTGCCATGCAACAAGTCAAACGTTATACCTTCTTCACCATCTACTCGCTCGATAGGTCCGCCCTCTACTCTCCATCAAACATTGAAATCCATTTGCTAAAGTAATCTTCCAGATCTATCTCATCTATTCAGGGACGACCATTGGGATTTCGAGACGAAACATTTGATGTGCGACTACCACAGCCACCATTGTCCGATGAAGGAGCTCCCAGCGCTGTGGTTCCGCACTCTTTCATGGCCGCCGTGCATCGCTACTCAATTTACCGATTCAAGCTCGACCGCATCGTTTCCGACATCAAGCTGCATCTGTACCATCTACCTTCCGATTCCAGTTGGTTCCCCTGGCCACAGAACTCAACCGAACACCAGGGGAGAATAAAACAGCTTCTCGACACGTGGGCATCAGAGGCTTTAGAAGACTCGCTCGATTTTTCACATTTAGAGCTTCAGCAGCGCGAGGTTTGGAGGCTGAAGCTCAAGATTCGATATCACACAGCAGTCGTCTTACTCTACCAACCGTCTCAAGTCATACAGAAGCCCTCACCAGCGTCGCTTCAAGCTTGCTTCGACAGCTCTTCTTACATGCTCTCCGCGTATCAACGTCTTTATAACCTCCAGAGTCTCCACATGGGATGGCGTTCCGTTCAAAACATCTTTGCAGCCGGAGCCACATTGATCTACTCTCTCTGGACCTCACCCGCCGTCCAGAGGAACACTTCTATTCCGTCAATTTCCAAGGACTTGCGGACGTGTTCGAACCTCCTCACCGTTGGTGGTGAATGGTGGCCTTCGGCGAGAAACGGCCAACGAAGCTTCGAGTCTGTCGCCGATCTGACGGTGCGAAAGCTGTACCAAGACGATTCGCAGTCATCTATTAAAGCCCCGCGACTGTCAATGCAGTCAACTGCCCGTCCAGCGCGTGATCACCGCCTTGAGATGAACAGCAGCGACGGACAACAAGACCAGAGCCTCACGAAAGGGCAGACGACATGTGATTTTGATCAGATCACCACCACGTGTCAGCCTCCGGATAACGGGGACGAACCGAACCAAGTCATGTGGCAGGGAGAAGAGGCGGGGCAGCCTTCATTGTTTGACCCGACGGTTGAAATGTTCCTCGCGGAGTTCGACGCATCCGACTTCACCTGGAGCTTCCCGCTCAACGACAACAGCAACACCAACGGAAATGGTGATCCGCACGCCGACCAACTTTGGATGCGTCCTCATACAGAATTTTGAATTTTGAGCTGCGAGTCAAACTCCGCATGGTCGTTCCGTCAATGTGGATTCGCGATGTGGCCGGGTTGCTCCGGATGGGTGAAGCCGCCATGAAGGACAGCTCCGTGAAAGCGGGTGGATCCGCCCTTCGCACCATCATCGCCCAAGTTGAATTCAACATGGTCATTTTCTTTAGCCGAGGTTTTGAGTACCTAGCCAGACTTTCGAATGAAATTATCATGAAGGATTTCTTTCGCACGACGCGTCTGAACGGGTCCGACTCTCACCATCACCACCCCCTACACACTGGCCTTCACCATCGCCCGTCATGATGCGCCCATCAGCCCTCGCAAGGGCTGGGCGTCAGAGCCGTCAATTGCGGCCGCACCAGGCTCGATTCCTTGCGACGCACTCGGGCCCGGTCGCAATGGCCCCGCTGGAGAGGCATCATGTGCTTGACTACGGCGCGCGTTTGCAGGCTCTGCAACGCGTTGGTGGCATAGCCCAGCGTCCCTTGACCCTTTCGGAGAAGCTTTTATACAGCCATCTCATCCACGAGCACGATGAATGGTCACTGGGCGACATTGAGCGCGGCCAAACCATCCTGCGCCTTCGACCCGACCGCGTGGCCTGCCACGATGCTACAGCCACCATGGCTCTTCTCCAATTCATCAGCGCGGGCCTACCACGAGTCCAAGTGCCGACATCCATTCACAGCGATCACTTGATCGTCGCAGAGCACGGCGCGGAGCAAGATCTCGAGAGGGCGTCAAGCGACCACCGCGAAGTATACTCATTCCTCGCCAGCGCCAGCAAGAAATATGGCATCGGCTACTGGAAGGCAGGCGCCGGTATTATCCATACAACTATCTTTGAGAACTACGCTTTCCCCGGAGGGCTGATGATCGGCACCGACTCACATACACCGAACGCTGGCGGCATGGGGATGCTTGGAATCGGAGTTGGCGGCTCGGACGCTGTTGATGCCATGGCTGGTTTGCCATGGGAGCTGGTCTGCCCCAAGGTCATTGGTATTCACATCACTGGCGAGCTCCAGGGTTGGAGTTCGTCCAAGGACATCATCTGCAAGCTGGCCGGGATCCTGTCTGTCTCAGGGGGCAAGGGCAAAATCCTCGAGTTCTTCGGGCCTGGTGTTCGAACTCTGGGTGCTACAGCCATGGCCACCATATGCAATATGTCTGCCGAAGTCGGGTCGACATCATGCATCTTCCCGTACTCGGAATCCATGGGTCGTTATCTCTCAGCCACGAAGCGCGACAACATTGCCCGTTACGCTGAGTCGTTCAAGGAGACACTGCTCACGGCCGATGAGGGCAGCGACCAGTACTACGACGACGTGATTCACATCGACCTGACCACTCTCGAGCCGCACATCAACGGCCCCTTCACGCCTGACCTACACCACCCGCTGTCACAGTTCAAAGCCCACATCCGGGAGAGCTCCTGGCCTTCCAACATCAGCCACAGCATGGTCGGCAGCTGCACCAACAGCTCCTACGAGGATCTTGAGAAGGTCCACAACCTTGTCCAGCAGGCCAAGAATGCTGGTATGTCGCGTCCCAAGACACCCTTCCTGGTGAGCCCAGGGAGTGAGCAGATCCGGGCCACTGCCGAGGATGCGGGTATCTTGGGAGGTCTTCGCGATGCCGGTGCCGTGGTTCTGAGCAATTCGTGCGGACCCTGTGTCGGGCAATGGGACCGCAAAGATGTCGGAAAGAAAGAGAGAACTCGGTCATCTCCAGCTTCAACCGAAACTTCACTGGCCGCCATGACGGCAACCCCGCTACACACTCCTTCGTCACATCTCCCGAGATCGCCACTGCTTTTGCTTACGCCGGCGACCTGTCTTTCAACCCAAGCACCGATTCAATTACGGTCGTTGGCGATTCTGGCGCTACGACCGAATTCCGCTTCACCCCTCCCACCGCTCAGGAGCTTCCGGACGCCTTTATCGCTGGCAATGACCTGTACCAGGCGCCTGTACTGGAGAATACAGGCCAGTACAGGGTTGAAATTGACGAGAACAGTGACCGACTTGAGCTTCTCGAGCCCTTCCCAGCCTGGATGGATGGCCGGGCCAGTGAGATGCAGGTTCTCGTCAAGGTTGCTGGAAAGTGTACAACTGATCACATCTCCCCGGCCGGCCCTTGGTACAACTACCGCGGTCACCTCACCAACATCAGCCACAACATGTTGCTGGGAGCCTCAAATAGCTTTCTGCCAGAGAACACCAGTCTCGATATGATTGGCAAGACCAAGGATCCCGCTGACGGAGAACTCAAGTTGATCCACGAGGCTGCCCGCAACATGAAGAACAAGGGTCTCAAATGGTGTATCATTGGCGACAACAATTACGGCGAGGGGAGTTCACGCGAGCACGCCGCTCTGGAGCCGCGTTTCCTGGGCGGCACGGCTGTCATCGCCAAGAGCTTTGCTCGCATCCACGAGACCAATCTCAAGAAGCAGGGCATGCTGCCCCTGACATTTGATGATCCCGCGGACTACGACAAAATCCGGGAGGGTGATGTGATCACCGTGCTGGGAGTCGATGGCAAAGAGTTACAGCCGGGTAAGCAGGTCACGATGCAAGTCCGGACGGCGAACGGAGCTACATGGACGGCTTTATTGAATCATTCTTATCACAGCCACCAAATTGAGTGGCTGAGGGCTGGTAGCGCGTTGAATTTCATCAAGCAGAACCTAAGTAACGGTAGCCAATTATGATAGATGTATATTATTTCTTAAAAAACACTCCTCCCCTCGCTGGATCTTATTCCTTGTATAGCCGCGCGACGGCACACTCAAGCAACGAGACCTTGTGCCATCTTGAAGCCGCTTGTAGAAATGGTGGGCGTTTATGGGACCCTGTCACATTTCTGTCCTTGTCGCGATCCTTCTGCAAACAAGCGAAGATAAGCCGGAACGATGGCTATGAAACTCATCGGACAACTTGGGCATGAACTTGGGTGCGACTTTTGCGGAGACCTCCAGCACCCATGACTGTTCTCTGCGGAGGGATCCGACAGAGGATGAACTCCATAACTGTCAAGTCAACGTGCACGGAAATTGGAATGGGGCCATTTGTGCAGAGGAGCATCTTCCAAGCCGTATCCCCCGCTTCTCCGCGCGATCTCCAGATTATCGGAGTGATCCTGCTACCTCAATCCGGGGTTGTGGGATTGGATATCACGGCTGAAAGGTCCACGGGATGGTCCGACCTCGGGACGGCACTGTTCTTTCATTATAAATCATATGTCATTACCAGCCCAGTCCGATCGCAGAATTGCCATAGATTGAGATCATTGCCGCCTTACCCCAGCCATCATGACAGCCACATACCTATTGCTGGTTGCGGCCTCACTGGGCCAAGCTTTGTTCCATGGCGTGCCTACAGAATTTGACCAGGGAAGCTGGGCACTTTACTCTTACCAAGAGAATGGGGTTGCTGTGTTACCGGGCTCTTTCAACCGCTCGGTCTTCGATGCTCCCCATGAGAGTGTCACGTCGGATGAGGATTTGACAGACGCGTAAGTTCAAGGCTGTTATTTACAAATAGAAGGGTGCTAACACATTGATAGCAATATATTTCTCAACCAGACTCAGTTTATCGCCTACGATAAGAAGTTTTTCGACATTATTGGTCCCAAGGCAAAAGTCAACCATGTACAGACACTCGCCTTTCAGACACACGAGGCCCCTTGTTATAATTCCGATACAAAGCAGCTTTTCTTTGTCGAATGGGGGCCCCCTGGTGGAGAAAAGGGCGTTCACTCATGGCAGTACATGTTGGATACAGCTACCAACGAGTTGCGCAATATCACGACTGACCCCCCCACCATCAACGCCCACGGCTGCGTCATCTACAATAAGCGGATGTACGTTGTTACGGATGGCGGTCCCAAAGAGACTGGTCAACTTGTCAAAATCGATCCTAAGACTCTCAAGAAGGAGGTTCTGCTCAACAACTTCTACCAGCAGCCATTCCTGGGTTTCAACTATTTGGACGTTGACCGTCAGGGTAATTTTTGGTTGACAGATTCCAAGTCTGGCTATGTGAGTTTCATGCAGCCTTTTCATCTCAACCCAGACTTTTAACAGTTTTTCCAGGGTCGCGACATTGTCCCTTTTGCCAACCCTACAAATCCCACGGTCTATCGCGTCGACGGGAAGACTATGAGACCTAAGGTCGTTCATATCACCACCGGCAACGCCAACGGGGTTGCTATAGCGGACAGCGAACATGGACAAGTCATATACCTCCCTGACACAGGTGTCTCCGAGTTCAAACCCGTTTCGCAGAAGAATGCTTTCGGGAACAGGGGTCTGTACGCCTTTGACGTTGGTCAGAACGGCATCTTGACGAACCAGAGATTGCTTAACAACCCAATTGGGTACTTTTACGACGGGCTTCGTGTCTCGCGTAACGGATGGATCTTTGCTGGAGCTGGCGATGGAGTTGATGTTATTGACCCTGGGACTGGTCTCGCTTTGGGGACAATCCGCATCGGCGGAGGCGAGAACGTGGCGGTGAGCATGACATTTGGCAGAAATGAATGTGGATTGTTGGCCGCGGTGGTGTTTGGCATGTTAGTAACATTAAGGAGCGCCTGGACAGACGTTGGTAGGCTATTCCCTATGTGAGACTCATTGACCAAGCCTCTGAAGGGGCTTGTGGTGTCGTATTTACTACAGTAGAAACTCACGAGTCGTGTGTCAAAGCCTTTAGACTCTCCTCGTACGCTGGTAAAGCCCACCTCTTCATCCAGGCCATGTTCAACACCTCCTCTGCATTTGGGCGATCCCTAGGCCTCCATGCGAGCATCCATTGTAAAAGCTGAAGCAAAGCAGCTTTCTCCTCCTCGCTGATGGTGTCCATGCCATACAAATGCCTCGGCTTCTGTACTCATTGCTCGAATCGTCTATCCCATGACCATACGTCACGTTCGTTGCTGAGCGGGCGTCCCGACTCGTCGAACCATTTGGATCTCTGCTCCCACTTATTACGCCACTCGGATGGCAGGGGCCCTTGCAAGTGGACTTGCTGTGCAGTGATCTCGTCCTGGGTCGTGAGTATTCCGTCAATCAGGGACCTGTGGGCAAGAAGCTCGAAGATAACGCAACCGAGACTCCATATATCCGAACTAAAGGAAAGCGGCGTTGTCGGTTCAAAAAATGCCTCGGGCGGACGGATCACGAGTGGAGTGTAGGATCCAAAGCGCGATTCGGTCGAGGGGCGAAAAGCGACACCAAAATCGCTAAGCAATAGCTTTGCTTCCTTCATGGTGATCTCATCGCTTGGAACACCGAGCCAGACAGGGGAGACGGCGTGCGAAGGAATACCAGTTGCTGAGGAGCTTGGTTTGCCATCGACACTAACGACTGGCTCCAGCACTAGGGGTCCGAAATTAGTATACAGCTGCTTCACTGAGAGTTTATTGAGAGAAGACGGTAGTTGGAGCAGCAGATTGCCAAGGTGAAGATCTAAGGCACGCGGCTATTAGCTTATTCGAAAATAGAAAGAGCCCACATACCTCCATGGGCATGACCCTGGGAGTGAACAAGAGAAACCGCCATGGCAATTTGGGCAGCCAGGGACCGGGCAACATCCAATTGGAACAATTTCGTTTCAGATGCCTCTTTCGCATCCATCAGGCTGCATCTCGCCGGGACAGTGACAAAACATAGGTGGCTTCCATTGGGGCCGTCGAAGCTAAAGCGTTCAAGGGCAACGGGGAGTATCGACGTCTTGTCCGCAGGGAGACTCCTGTTGTAAGCTGGGATAAGATATCCACCTCTCGCCTGTCTCCATCTGCGGTCCCGACCTTGATAGCGACATAGTTCGATGAACTTTCGTCTAGAGCGAGCCAGGCCGTTGAGAAAGTGCCGTGACCGAGCTTGTGCACAATGCGATATTGCTTGTGAAGTCGGTCGTCGATTTGGATAGGATGATAACTTCCCGGTCGGTAGTCTCTTAAGTTCTCCACACCTTCAATATACCTGTACTTAATCTCTGGAGCCGCTATCGTGGAGCAGGGCGTATTTGATGTGCGAAGTTACCGTGATGAAATTGGATAACTTGAGAGATATGATCGTCGCGACAACACGCGCCGCGACAGCGCCGGCCGCGGGAACCAGCGCATGTGTGGCTCACGTGCACGGCGGAAGAAGATCAAGTATACCTAGAAAGCTACGTGAATGGGTTAGAACGTATGTGGACAAATGTGCGGGACGAGTAGCCCGCCTTGAAAGGCTAGGTTGGATTATGTCGTGGGTTTGAACTCTAAGTGACTCGGTGAGAGCGCAATATTAAACGCGTCGGTGTGGGGACTGCTCCTTACCCTAGACTGTTATTAAGTAGATATTGGTTATGAATCGCGTCGTCGCTTAGGACGGTCACAAGTAGGCGAGCTATATATATATCACTTAATTATCGTATAATTAATAAGTTTTAATAAGTTACGACTGCTTTATATTAAAACAGCACCAGCCTAGAGAGATTCTAGATCCAGACGCCCGGGATGTATCTCTAACATGAGCTTCTAGAGTTCTCCAGCCGTACTAGCATTAGGGCTCAGCATGTCAACATTCCCCAAATACGTCTTTGTGTCCTGAATCGCTTCAGGCCCGAAACCCTTACTTGAATCGCTTGCATCAACCCAGCCCAGAGGCTCACGCGAAGCGTCTGAGGTCAACTGCGCGTCGACTAACACCGTATCTTTTGCTCCGTAGATTAAGGCAGACGAGGTGGGAACCCACTTGGTTGTCATGACCGGCCGGCCTAGTCCGGGCGGTCGAAGCACGCTTGCTAAGAGATACTTTATACTCCGGACTCATGTTAGGGAGGGGTTGATTGACTTAATAGTATGGATCGAGAGCAAATGTATGTGAAAGTCACAACTCTTATTGTAGCTCGCCGGATGTATAATAATCAATCCTACGCTCGATTCCCAATCACCTAGTGTCGGCAGCGTCTCCTAACTCTCCTCCGTCCGGTCGCTCTGCGACCCACTAGCGAGCCGAGGCAGAGTGGATCCGGGACCCGCTTCCTGTGATGCCGGTGCAGTGGGACGCCCCGCGGCTGACCCGCCACACTTCGGCAGAGGCGGGGTCGGCGGGGACCCGATTGTTAGCTACACCAAGTTTCCCGTACTTCGAATGCCGCTTGAAATCTTGACTAAATAACACGGCAGTGACAATCATAATAATGAGACAGTTTACTAATTACTATCACTATAATTCAACTCCCCGTTGTTTCGAGCCAAGAGCGAGTTCCAGTTGAACTAGTAGCAGCGTTGTGTTAAATCGCTCTATTCCTTATTTCCATGCAAGACGTTCTCTGTCTTGAACACAACAGCTTCCTTTGGAAGGAAGGGCAAGAGAAGAGCAGTGTCCCAATAGATCCAGACTTCCTTGAAATGCAACCCCTCTGGAGTCTTCTCGTCGTTGCTCTTCCCGATGATAGCAATCATGGTAAGAGGGATACTGACTGAGGGCATCTCGTCCTTGTTCCCGCGAACCCATAGGTTGCGAATATTCTGGGTGTATATCTGGCTTGTCCCATCATCGCGTTCAATCTCCAGAAGCTGGATCCAGTCATGATGGATTCGTTCGAATACTCCAAACAGTTTCTTCATCCAAGCCCACATCTCATCTCCTCCGTGATAGACCGCGTTGTTCTGGTTGTGAAAGACCACGTCCTTCGAGTAGAACTTGAGGCCGGAGCCGCTGTCATAGCCTTTGGAGTCCACGGCATCCACGTATTGCTTAAAGAATCTCTGGGTCGGTGTAGACGGTCCATCCATTTCCCACTGGGCACCGGAGATCTGACTGACGACTCGAGGCATGGTGGGAATTCAGGGGTATATTATTGAGAGCGTGTTTTAAGAGGGTCAAAGTCTTGAAGATTAAGGTGTGCAGACTGTAGCTTGCAATTGAAAGAAGTTTGTGGAATCAGGCTGGGGATAGGCATTAACCTTTATAAGTGCTTGACTGCGACCTTACCTAGTATTAGTAGTCCCACATAGGATTATGTCCCGTTTAGCCGACTGCTACCCTATAGTTTCGGATGCAAAAAGACTAAATAAGTTAGGTATTAAGTAAATAAAGAGTAGCACTAGAGTTTCACTAACGGACATTGATTTAATATAGCTTAAATCTATCCTAAATTATAGCGTTAATACCTGCTTTTGGTTAACTACTAACGCATGATTTAAGCACAGAGCGCCTGAGTGTGATTGAGTTATTCCTATGCCGTTTTATCCGAGAAATTCGTAAGCACGCAGCCCCTTGTGCGGTCGGCAGGAATGCTAATAGTAAACGTACCGTGTTAGGCTAATGCGAGGATCTCTATTTGAGCTTTTGAATGGCCCTCGACGCGGAGCAGTCATTAAATCACTAGACATTTACCTCGCTCTTAATTATGTTACTTTCTTTCTCAAACCTATACCGATAAAGATTACTTTGTCGCGTCAAGAGATTGAATTCAAGTCCCATAGTAGCACTATTCTTCGCGGGTGGTTACAACTTAGGCACGAGATCTTTCCATGCATCATCATGACCCACGGAGTTTGTTTTCACCCTTCGGCGCCCCTGTTCTGCGTCTCTCCCCCAACAGGCGTGCCACGGTTGTCCGGTCGCTCATCTTCGTATGTCTCATCCAGCTTGGCGGCACTTGCTACTTCTCGCTGCCCCGGTTCGCCTCCGCTTTCAACAAAGACAGGATATGCCGTCTTGCTTCATGATGATCGTAACTGGAGAGACAGAGATGGTGTACCTCGACACAAGTGTCGAACCCAGCACTGCGGGAAACGACTACTTTGCCGCATTCAACTACGCCATGACCTTGCCCTGTGTCGACGGCGACGGGATAATTTGCTGAGGCAGCAGCTTCTCGAATGTCAATATCATCTATGCGGCAGCGACAGACAAGCAAATCAAAGATGCCATTATTCACGCGCCAACCGTGTTTGGCGAGACTCGGCCTCACGCGTTTGACCATCGCATCCCGGAGCTACTGGAGGATAGAACTCGGTTCACTTCCTGGCTCGGTTATTCTACTATACTGATTGCAACCGATTTAGAGTCTTTTGATCCGTCCAAACAGACGCCATGTTCCCAACCAAGGATACCTACGACACAATGACTGAGCAAGGGAATTGTGAAATCCAGTGGGAGAACTATAGAACGTCTCAGACTTAATTAAAAATATTTAGTTTAACGCTCAGGCAATGATCTAAGGATCTCCCCCACACCGCCCCTGTTTGTTATCCCAGGCAACGACGTCCTTGTTTCAACATCCTCCCAGAAGGATGCCTTCAACCAGGCTTTGGAGACGAAGTAGTTGCGTTACCTAGAATAATGCGGTTGATTTAATATCGACGTGCGGCATTACTTTCGAGAGAATATTAAGGCGCAGATTCAGTTCCTCGAACATTATTTTAAATAGTTATCGATTTAATACGAAGAACAACACCTGGCCTTCTCCGGTACTCGCTACGACTGCAATCGGCGCCCGATGCCATTCTCTATGGCCGGTGTATCTGTCTTCCCAACTTCTAATCTCATGTCCGCATCTGAAAGTTATAAGCCCGTGCGGCTTCTATGCTTTTTCACATTCCAGGTGCTGAAGTGTTTTGAACGCATCCTGAGATAGGCGTAAACTTTGCCGAGTCCTAATGCTAATCTACGGTAACGGTTTGTGTCCGTCGAATTCGCCCACTCTCCTTAAGAGCCTTCTCAGAACTGTCATCCGCCCAATGTTGTTCCTCTCCACTTTCACCAACCATGCCGCTAGAGACAGAGTATTCTGACACCATTATTATATCTCTACGGCCTTGGGTAAATTCGCTATCGATATCTTCAAATTGCGAGTATTGATTCCGTTTCGCGCCTCCGTGTTTCGTAGTCATTGTCCCGATTGTTCGGAGCGCGATTGCTTCCGAAGTGCTCTTCACGTCTTTCGTTGCTTTTGAGCTTCGACCGCATCGGGTCTCGCCAATGAGAGTAGGTGCAACATGTTTCAGAAACTTTCGAATAGTCGGTAGCGCGCCGCAGACAATGAACAGGTTCGCTTCGACGATACTGCAGAGTAGAGATGGACGTGTCAGCTAGTAAATCTTCCCGCGGGGAGTTGAATGAAATTTGCGCTCACATCCAGACAGAGGCCCACGAAATAACCCATGTTTGATCCACGCTCGTGAGCATTTGCGGCAAAATGGACACTCGGATCACAGAAGTGACGATAGTGCTTTGCAATTGTCAGCAAGCCATTTCAACATGAAGTCTGATAATGTGGGTGACTTACATAGACCCAAGCAAGAAGATCACTACCAGTCCCAATTTCTGCCTGCGAGGTACTTGTAGCTTGACCACAAACGGCAGTGGCAGGAAGAACAGCTGTATGTCTGATAGTATGTTCACAACAGCCGTGGCAATGTATAGCGTCGGTCGATTGATGCAGGTCCCCGACACAACCGTGGCATCGTAGCTTTTTGCGATGGGATCACACGCGAAGATGAGCGCAAAGAATATGCCGACGGTATATCCACTGATGAAAACGAGGGTAGCCCACACAGATATCTTGAACCACGTCTGCGGCGACAGACGGAGATAGAAAATCAACAACGAGGCCTTCGCGAAGCTGCCACCCACGATGTATATTGCCGCGGCAAGATATACGTCCTGGCATATACGTCAGCCCTCAGCGGCATTTGTAGATAGGCGTATGCAATAAACAAAATCAGAAACAAACGCAACGCCGACTTACATACCATGAGATAGATGTTGTATGTTGGAATGTCAATTTCCCAGCCATGTACTCCGCCTGCGCCCGTGGCAAACATGTCTGTATGAAAAAAAGGTCAACACTGTCGCAATTGGCGTCTCCAAAGGGTGACTGACGAACACAAAGGCCAACAGTAGCCATAGACATAAGCTATATCATTGTTAGTCTTTTTCCTATTAACGTTATGTCAGAAAGGTTCAGTTGGCTCAACGCATACCCAGGCCAAAATCAGGAAAGCTACAACGTCAGCGATGATTCAATCGAGGCAGGCCATGCACAAAGTGCCCTGCATCGTGATGTACAAGATCTTTTGGTGTTCTGGAATGGAATACGTTCTTGCTTACCGTCATCCAGCTGAAGCCTTCCCATCACGACAGTCTTCGTGTACAGCCGCTGTATCATCATTAACAGACTCAAAATCGTTCCCACACTGGCGATCCAGTATGCATGGGGAACAGCCTGACGTCTCGGATTGTCGAAATCAACTGGATAGTCGCCCGGATCGGGCAGTACCGTCCGTATGCCATTCACAATAGGCATTGGCGTATAGAGAGCTACTCGCCCGTGGGATGTCTATGGCAAGGCTTAAAAACTTGAATGTACATTCTCCAAAGTTTATATCGCATTGGGCTCGCTTGCGTGATCCGTCTTCCTGAATTTTCCAACTTCGGAGGACACGGATCATTGCCCTTCAAACAATGTTGGTTCTGACCATCGCTGGTTGAGACGCATTGTCAAGTTCATTGGTGATGCCAGGGTCCTGGTATCACCCGTTTTCTCCCGCTCTGACCATTCACACACGAGCATTTGGCTATCACTGAACCAACAAGGCCCAAGCCCCTGTGTCTTGTTGGTTGAGTGATAAAACAAAGAGCTGAAACGTTGCGAATGCAATGCCACTAACTATAGTCGGATTACGTAGCATGGGTGAGTGTGCATAAGGCCGGGGCTGTTTGGATTAGAGCAGGGATTGCGCATCCGCGTGACTGTGCCCTTGTAGCCTACATGCATATGTAATTATGTATGCAGGTGGTCACATCGTCGACCAACAAACCCGGAGCAGGCTCTCTATCCGGTAGGCGCTTCGTCCGCGCGGAGATTCTGAAGCGAAATAGCACGGTTGAGAACAGCGATTCATGGAATTATACCGACTGAACAGAGCGGGTATTTTCTTTGTTCTTTTTCTTAAAGTCAAGCCCCATCCGTAGACAGCGTCAACAGAAGACTCATTGTCAAACAATTGTCCCTTCGTCACTTTCCACAGTCCAATCCCCTTCGGTACTCTCTGGCAGGATCTGTGAAGATGAGGTCAAGTATTGCGCTTGCCTTTGTCACCGCCCTCGGTCTCTCGGCTGCCAGCGGCTGCGTGTCTCGCTGTGTTAGTCACCTCCTCATTCTCCTCTTCCCGGAAACGGTTTTTGAGTCGAGGGCTCGTGCTTTTTGAAAGATGCTTCAATGATGCTAACCGGCCTCGCATAGTGTCTGGAACTACAAAAGGCCGACAAACTCAAGGGCAAAGTTTACTTTCCTGACTCGAGCGCATACGAGGATCGTCTGGACTCATACTGGTCTGTCAGTGCCGCATTGTCACCTTGGTGCATGGTTCAGCCTTCCACCGCAGATGACGCATCCCAAATAATCAAATTCCTTGTCGCTGGTGATTGCCCCTTTGGCATCCGTGGCGGAGGACATGGTGCTCATACTCTTTCCAACAGCGTTGAACATGGCGTTACCATCGACTTTGGTAAGGAGTAAATCCCAGTGCAATGGTCTTGAAGCTTGCTAACCAGACTCTAGGAAACATGAATGCCACAACATGGGACCCGGACACCAAGCTCGCGTCTATTCAGCCCGGTGGTCACTGGCAAAGTGTCTACGACGAACTGGTGCCCTACGGCGTCACTGTTGCAGGGGGGCGCGCTGGCACAGTCGGCACGGGGGGCTTCGTCAGCGGTGGTGGAAACTCATTCTACTCCGCGTCTCATGGCATGGCCTGCGATACTGTTGCCAACTTTGAGGTTGTGCTCGCCAATGGAAGCATTGTCAATGCCAACAAGGACAACCATCCAGATCTCTGGCAGGCTCTCAAGGGTGGCAGTGGAAATCTGGGGCTCATCACCAGTTTCGACATGTACCCCATCGATTACGCCGATCCAACAAAACCTGTTGTTTGGGGTGGCAATCTGTTCTACGATTTAGCTTCGGGCCCGGCAGTGATCGATGCTCTCGTTGACTTCACGAACAATGTTTACAAGGACGAGAACAGCTCTTCTATTGTTTACTGGGCTTACTTACCTGATATTTTGGGGGGCACCATGCTCAATGCCGCCATTGAGAACACGCTTGCAACGGTGAAGCCAAGGGCATTTGACGGGTACTACGCTGTGGAAGGCATCTACGATGATACGACCAAGATCGACACCCTCTCTGCTGTCGCTAACGAGCTTGGGTCTGGACAACCTGCCGGATTCCGGTATGTTCACCCCTTTTGACTTTCCTATTTCGACAGCAGCACCCGCTAAACCATCACACAGTAACATCTGGCTCGCCGCATCCTTCAAGAACGACGCTCGCCCAATGAACTATGCAGTCGAGAAATTCACCGAACTAAATGCTGAGCTGGAGAAGGTTGCCCCATCTCAAGAGACTGGCCTCAACACGCTCTGCATGTTCCAGCCCATCACCGAATCCATTGTCGAGAAGGGCGTGGCAAACGGCGGCAACGTCATGGGGCTCGAAAGCCACATCAATGATGGCAACGGTATCATGTTCTTGCTCACTTTTGCAGTTCATGGTCGTGAAGCTGAGGAACGGGCGCTGCCTCTTCTCACGGCGTACATGCAGGACCTCGACGATTACGCAGACAAGCTCGGCGTTAACTGGGGTTGGCGCTATTTGAACTACGCGCACCGCAGCCAGGACGTGATATCCTCCTTTGGGGAAGATGCCGTCGAGAAACTACAGGCCGCCGCTGCCAAGTATGATCCGGATGGCGTATTCCAGAGGCTGCGTGGGTCGGGGTTCAAGCTTCCTTGAATGTACCACAAGTCGCATTGTACTTGTGCTTCTGTCTCTAGCTGGGGCTACACGTAGTCCATGGCAGGCAGGTAAGCAAGCTTGAACGGCTTGGCGGTGAGACCTTGAGGACTGGAAGATGTCGACCTGAACAGAAACTAGAGGTGACATATATACACGTGCGCGCCGGAAATGATACCCTTGTAGAGATGGTCACGCTAAGAGCGGAGTTGCCTTTGCGTTCAACTATGTTCATTGCCACCAAGTATATACAGCCAATCCATTTCCCAAGCGCCGATCTAGCATGTGAACACATCCGGGCCCGGAATCACATACTCAGACGCCTTGTACGCATCATATGTGATACCAGGGTCGGTGCCGGCGTACGCACCAGGGAAGCTAACGAGGTCGCTTGGCGAGGCGCTGCCTCCTCCCGTGACTTCGAGCTGGTGACACCCAGGGTAGAACTGGGCGCCTGGGTACTGCCAAGCTGCGTGCAGAGCAACGACTTCGTGACGGACGAGGTAGTAGCCAGGCTCAATGCAGGCAGGGATAGTGTACTTGAGCCCATCGTTGTTTGCCTGTACGATAACATCCTGCAGCTTGTTAGTACATGATGCTCCATGCTCGTTCTGTGGTCAACCCACCGATGCCCAGTTTTCAGAGGTGCCCTCGCGACCGTCCTCTTGAATCTTGAACCACACTGCGTCCTCGCCAGGCTGGTAGTCTTGACATCCAGCATCAGGGCACTTGGCCATGTATGTGATGACAGGGCCCATGTGTGAGTCGGGCCACAACGTCCAGAACAGGGTCACCTCTGAGCCAGCCGCGACCTTGGCGTGAAGGGGTGCCGGTTCACTGCCCTCGACACCACCAGCGGAGTAGCCATTGCACTGGAGATCGATGCTTGTGACGTCCTGGACAGGGCCGTTGCCGGGTATGGGGCGCGAGATGCGCTCGGGCTTCGGGCTCATGTATGGGTCTGTGTTGGGGTTGTAGAACTCGTATGTTTCGCCGCCAATGATGGCTGACTCAACATAGCCGTGCGCCGCGGCGACAGCAGCGGTCGAAAGAATAGAAGCAAGGTAACGCATTGTGGGAGAACGATTTGCCCGGAAACGAAATAGGTAGGAAACAAGTTAACGTAGAAGAAATGTTTATAATGATTCAAAAGGCTAGCAACAGAAATTATATAAACAGCGTCGCCCACGTTGAGTAGGTGAAACAGATAAGTTTGGTGTAAATTATTAGTCGCTGTCTTCAGACGTGTGTCATGAGACGTGTGTCCTAACGTCTCGGGCCAAACGGGGCGACGGAGGTTAACGATCCGAGCTGTCATTGGTGGATTCGGGCCCGGGGTCCGTCTCATCTAAAAGAACAGAAGCTCCTCCGTGAAAAAGTGTCCGAATTAGGAAATAAATTGTCCGCCTCCCCGAGTCCCCGTCGACGCAAGCCACGAGTCTCGTCTGATAATTAATATTCATGTATAGATTCCGACTGCAGCCCCCACGAAAGTTCGTCCTCCCGTAATACCGTAGACGAATAGCGACAAGGACGGGTCAAATTCATGTGGGTAGCTGCCTGCCTTCCCTCCGCGGCAATTCATGATTCCGTTGGACTTGGAACCGATTGCTCTAAGTACTAGCGGATGCGCCTTACGCCTAGATAGGTATGCTGTCGGGTGCGTGTAGAATTCTAGCGGTCTTCTTGGACAATCTTGATTGCACTGCGTGGTTGATCTCGAAGCTGCTGTGGTGTTGCCTCAATTGTGCCACGCGATTTTTTTGTGGAAAAAGTCCATGTGATTGACCTTGGCTAGTGCGCATTTCAAGCCGTGAAGAAGAGCGTACTATAATGCTACAAACCTATAATAACTAGAATAGACTTTATCGGAACTAATTAGAGACAGTTTGATATATTCCAGAGTGCAACACGCAACCGCAGCAGGTCAATGGATTTTGTACAGGGTAGGCGACAGGCCCTGCCCGCAGTACATCGTATAACCAATCACGAAGGGAGCGACCGCGACGTGACTCACAACCTGCGTTTACGATTGCCGTCAATAATAAACACAAGCCTGCACCGATCGAACGCGAGTCAGCTCTCGCCCACGGCAAACATTGTTAACCGCGACATGAATATTGCCGCCACGCCCCATAAACCATGGAAAACGGTATGTTCGATCCCGGACGTTTCGTCGCGCTACACAATAATATCCTACGGAGGGCCACGTTACATGCGCGCGGCACGGGCACACACCGGCCGACGCGTCATGAATTCTTAACATGCATCGCGAGGTAGACGCGTCTGACAATAAAGACGGCAATAATAGTCACGATAGTGACAACATTATCCACCACAAGTCCAAGCCCGCAGCGCAGCAGACACAACACCGCCTCGAAATCACTAAACTGGAGCGGCGCACGATCCACAGCTTCCTCCCCCAGCTCGACAGCTCCGACACTGATGGCTTGCACCTGACCGTTGAGTTCCGCCAGCCCGACCCGACGGGCATGAGCCTGAGCGGCTTGACAAACGGCGACATTGCGGATCGCGACATTATCTCTTCTTACGCGGAGGTCAACCGCTTTTATGCCAGCATTCCGAACCGCGCCCCTGCAACCTCGCTTCCGATTCGTCGCGTCGAGGCTCACCACATTCACACAACCCACGCGTTCACCGCCCTCGTAGACGCCGAGGACAAGCTTCACCACGTTGTAGGTTACATGTCTCAGCCACTGAAGCAGTGATATGTTCTCCTGCCTGCCCCTTCCGCCCGCATCTGATCCCCTGCCGACCACGCCTGGTGAGCCACACCAACCTACTGCATACCGACCGATTCGCCGATTGGAGCTCATGGCGACGGATCGGGGCTTGGCCAACACTTTGTGTTTCTAGAACAGGCGCCACGGGGCAATGTGAGGGCGGCGACGCTAGCAGTGATGCTCGAGGCGTAGGCCGGCTGTGTGAGGTTGGGAGTGAGGACTTGGCCGCAGTTTCCGACAGCTTCACTCGCTCTGGCCGTGCCTGTGCGTTTTTTGCGGAAAGCACTGCTGTGTCAAACTCCCAGCGAAGCTCTTGCCAGGGAAGATGCCTGATGCGCTCTGGGTATTAGCAAGGGCAGAGGTTCCAAGTGGCATCACTGTGCGTTTACTGAGCGATGCAGGGCTGCAGTCCCGTTCTCATCCTAGACTGAACGTTTCACACCGGAGTGGACGACCAGCCGGTGTATGTTGACGGAGTTCAGATCATATGCTTGTGTCGCTTCACCTGGTTCATGGGATTGTCTCTCAGGACGAAGAGTAACTTGACTGACTCTGAAGCAACCATGATCACCGATGGAGCTATACGAGGCCTTTTGTTCTGCAAACACTCAGTGACCAAGGATGAGGAAGGATCATTGTGTCAAGTATATACAGAACGACTTCTCCAGACGCACGCGAAAGCTGCTAAAACTGAGGCCACCATGACTTGGTCTCCCTTTCAAGAGAGTCGGCAGGCTGCACATCCTCGTCCGCATTCTCCACCAGCATCTGAACATACTCATTGAACCACTGGCCAGCTGCGGGGGCCCCTTCGAGACCACATCGGCCATCACTCTCGCCTGGGGGCTTGACCCATGTGAGGCTGTCAACGTATGGATTTTCCAGGTCTGTCTTTTGCGGTGCGCCAAGTCCGGCAGGCGCCACGTTGCACCACTCACCCCATTCTTCTCGGGCGCCTGGGAGATGCACACGGCTTTGATCCACGATGAACCGTGTAGGCAGATCCAACTCCTCCAGATAAGGCGCAAGGGAAGATGTGTAATGATCCTCATCCCATGACGGGCTCCACTCAGTGTAGTTTTCACGAACAGTGGCATGGAATGGGTTGTAGTTCGAGACATTGGTGGAAAATCCACGGATAGTGGCGTTGTTTCCTGCACGATCGACAATGTCCTTGAACTGCTGTGCAGCTTCTCGAGTGTCAGCATCAAGTACCAAACTCACGCAAGACGTTACTCACCCAGGGGAAGGTTATCAGGCCAGCCAAGCCAACCTCCATGAGACGCATCAAGATAGAGATTGACGTTGGGAAGCTGCAACTTGGAGATGGCGTACGCAATGCCTTCTTCGTAGATGGGTTTGGCCTCGGCACAGAGCGGTACGCCTTGGTTCGTGACCATGTTTCCAACAGCATCAGGCTCCACAACGACGGCAAATGTCAAGTCAGAGGCTCGGCTCAGTCTCGTGGCCCAGGCATCCACATATTCATTCTTGTAGCGGCGTAGGCCGTCTCTCCCCGACAGCTCGCCAGCGCTTTCGCCAGCGCTGCAATCACGGTCCGGGAGGTTGTACAGAACAAGTCCCACCACCTGCGGAACGCCGCCTTGATTCTGCTCTGCGCGCGCAGCTGAGATAGCAGTGTCGAGGTTTGCAAGGAGGCTAATGGCAGGCGCCCATTGAAATGTCCCTAGCCCCTGAACCGTCCGCGTCTTGCGGGCATTGAGCTCATCGCCTTCTTCAATGAATGCCTCAAATGTAGCTTCGAGGCTGGCTGCATAAGAGTGATTGATGGAAAGCTTGCGGCCGACGAACGGGTTGGAAGAGTCCCGAGAGACGATTGGAGTGGGTACAGCGCCTGAAGATGGCACGAAGGCGCCCAGGGCCAGGGCGCTGGCCAAAGATGCAGAGCGCATGGTGCTTGAACTGAAGATGAGGCGGTTGCTTGTGGAGTAATTTGCCTAGTGCATGTGTGAGGTCAAGTATCAGGAAGATAGGGCAGACTGGGGCTTTATAAGCATGAATCTCATGTTCACTCGCGCTGGTGACCTGGAGTTGCTTATTCGCCGCGATGAAAGACTGTATTGTGAGTTCACATGAATTTGGGCTCTGCAGTCAGCCAATATTAACTGCCTATCCCGATCTTCCGCTCGACAAGATGAGCTCGTGGTCCCGAATCGCGCGTTCTCAGTGATGTGCAGTCGACTTTGCTGCTGCCGAGGCGGATGCGCTGCGCGCGCTTCCAAGGTATGCTGCCATTGTTATTAGCTTTTGCATGGCCAAGCCGCAGGAATTGGCGAGGTTGCGGAGTTTTGAATTGTTGAAATGAACCCCAGTGGTATATCGAGTACTGCGAAATCTAAACAGCCTGAGATATTTGGGTGGAGATGTCTCCATGGAGGTCATATTTCCCCAAATCCCCTGCCCAGATCTCGGGAGGCGGTGTTCCGTGATGCTTAAATCGGAACCCCATGTTCTGCCTAGTCGACACTTGACCTGCCTGAACCGTGCCTCACTCCGCTTTGACAATAAACGAGATTGCATGCTCGCATCTGCGTTGACTTCGAGTGTAATGCGTATCCCGGTTGGATTTATTTCCGAGATAGGGGGCGTGCATGCTCGCCGCTGTTCGGTCCGCCTAGCCGCCTCAACTATGTTCCAAGTCTTTTAGGCTATCTAGACACAGCGAGCTCACGAGACAGTATATTTCTCCGGACTAGGATATCCTAAATATGTATCGTTTTTATTCAAGATCCACGTCTCTTATGTAAATCTCACACACGTGTAAGTGAAAGGTGGCCGGCGGTGGATTACATACCCTATATACAAACGCGATTCCTTATTTACATAATATCTCACGGTATAAGCTACTATCTAAGTATTGCCCCTTAAAGACATTTTATACCTGTGACCGGTGTATCGAACCTAGATTACGGGGCACTACTTACTTTATCAAAATGTCCATTCTCTATAATCCGCTACCCGGGCTCCGCGGGCGCAACTCGGCAACCCGCGGAAAGCCGAGTCCCGCTTTCACATTCACGTTTAGACTTTGCGGTATTGAGATACATCTGCCACGAGAAACATGCAATACTCAAGATACATCAATTACGCCTCAAACTCCTCTACTCTCTTCACACCCAGCGAGCCTAGTATCTACCTTTGGACTCGTCGTCCTGCCACATGGCTCGCTTAGGTCGTCGATGCTCTGTTATTAATACCTTGGCCAAACAACAACGGACCTTGAATAGCTTGACCAGCCGTTACCTTTACCCTGGCAATTTTTGTCGTCACATCGGGACGATCCTGGGATTTCCGGCCAAGTCAAGCATTGGTGTCAAGTACCACGAAACCGCCTGCCAAGAAATTGGTCGCCTGGCTGCGGCCATATCTAGCTTTGAGCCTGTCCGGCTATACGCTCGCCCGGAGGAAATAACCAAGGCGCACGCTGCGGTGGCGCGGGCAATCGACGAGCACTCTGGCAGCCCAGACAATGTCACTGTTATCCCTATGGCCACAAACCACCTCTGGGTGCGAGACACCGGGCCAATCTATGTGCGGGAGCTCCCACACGTGAGTCAAGCTAAGCAAAAGTCACAAACCCGATTTGCTATCAACTTTGGTCACACCGAGTGGGGGTTCATGAAACAAAAAAAGGATGCAGCTTTCGCGCTCAGCGAGCACGATTGGGTCCCTTGTAGATATCGAGCAGTGAGTTCACTTTTGCCAGTGCCTCGCTCAAAGCATCCGTACAGTCAAAACTGGAGGCATCAAGAACGGAGATCTCGGGTTGCTGACAGTCGAGCGAGAAGCTCTGCACGTGTTTTCTATCCTCTTGTTTTAGCCGCATGCGAAGAACATCATGTCGATCTTGAAGCAGCCTCAACGCATTTTGCAATTGATTCACAGAAAGAAGAGGTGTGCTTATAGTGAAGCAGTGATTCCAAAACTCAGGATGCTCTAAATCCTTTTTCTGGAACCACCCCTGGATGGGTGTCAGAGGGGCGTCGCCTGTAGCGCTGTGGGTTGGCTGGTGCTCGTTGAAGCCCTTGAACTCGGCTGTAGACTGGGCTGAGAGAACGTTTTCGCTCAATGCGCGAACCGTTCTGTTCAGAAAAATGTCCTTGACGGTGACTTTGCGCCCGAGCGTGCTGTAGACGTCTCCCACAAGCCGAAGCGATGAGATGCTGTCACCGCCCAGTACAAAAAGATCGTCGTCAATTCCGCAGTGGCTGATGTCCAAAAGGGAAGCCCATAGCTGACACAGAGTTTTCTCCAGATCATTCCGTGGTGCGGTGGGTGACTTAATGCTCTGTGGTTTCCATGTCTGGGCCAGACGAGACACGTCTACCTTGCCATTGACTGTCACCGGAAGTGACCCCTGGATCTGATGTAGTTGTCCTGGAACCATGAATGATGGAAGCTTCGATAAAAGCGCTGTGTGCATCTCCAAAGATGACAAGTTCTTGTCGTTCTCGACCGTGTAGTAGCAAGCGAGACCCTTCGCAACGCGGGAACTCGAGTCTGTTCCATCGTAGAGCGCAATTACAAGCGAATCCTTAACTTGGGGGAGGGACAAAACACTCTCCCTGATCTCGGAAAGCTCGATCCTTAAACCGCGCAACTTGACCTGCTGGTCCCGTCTTCCCAGATATTCAAGGAAGCCCGAGCGACGTTTCCGTACCAAGTCTCCCGTTTTGTACAGCCTCTCGTGTCGTATGCCACTGCTTTCTGGGAGGCGCTTGAATGGGTGATGAATGAACCGATCATTTGTGAGAGTGTCTTGATTGAGGTAACCGCGTGCAAGACACGGCCCTCCAATGTAGAGCTCACCAACAGCATCGGCCGGAAGTTCCTGGAGACGGTCATTGAGCACAAGAGGCTCAGTTCCGGGGAGTGGATTGCACAACGCCTTTGTGAACGGTTCCTTGTTATTGAAAGTGGTGACAATGTTGTACACCGTCGTTTCCGTGATGCCGTAAGCATTGTTGATCATACCTGCGAACTGAGCGCGCATGGCATCGTACTGGCTGCGCTGCAGCTCCTCGCCCGCAGAGGTAACCATTTGGAGATCTGGAAGTCGCGAAAGACAGATCTGCTGCAGAACAGATGGAGTTCCACTCAAATAGGATAGCTGTTGCTTCGTGGCAAGTTCATAGAACGCTTCGTGTGTTATGCCCTCCTGTGGCGGAATGACCAACTTGTTGCCGCTGAGTATCGACAGCGATAGTTGCTCAAGGGAAAAGTCAAAAACGTAGTTGGAAAGGAACAAAACTACTTGCGACCCTGTTTTGCCGGAAAAGTATCGTTCCAGAAGAGCATTGCGGAATTGTATGACACTTCCGTGCTCGACAATGACACCCTTGGGCTTCCCAGTAGTTCCCGAGGTAAAGATAATGTAGGCCATGTCCGAAGGCCTGTGCCGACATACTGGAGAATTCTCCTCAGAAAGCACCTTGAGTCTCTCCTGGACCTCCGCTTCATCAATAACAAGAACGGGGACTTTGCAGGATATTTCAAGCTCAAAACAGCTGCCTCTTGTCGTCAAAAGGGCCCGTGGATTTGACTCATGGAGGATGATATCGATACGTTGTGGCGGATAGCTTGGATCCAGAGGGACGTATGCAGCACCGGACTTCCAAACGGCCAGAATCGAGATGATCATGTCGATGTTCTTGCCCATGAGAAGAGCTATTCGATCGTCCATCTCGAGTACATAGGAGGAAGTGATCAACTGCGCGAGCTGGTTCGCTCTCTTATTCACCTCGAGATAGGTGAAGCTGCCAACGCTGCTTACAACTGCTATGTCGTCTGGGCGAAGCTCGACTTGACGTTGAAATAGCTCCACAAGTGAAGAGCACTCGGGTTGATCTTTGAGCATCTCGCCCCCCATGTGTCTGTTCACATGCAGCGTCGTCTCGAAAGCAGTGAGTCTATCCAGTCGACTTCCAGCATCCATGAAGGCAACCTCCTTGAGAATGTGAGAGAATGTCCCAATGAACCCCTTGATAGTGTCTGCGTCGAACAAAGCCGTGGGGTAGTTGAAGTTGACATCCAGCAAACCTTTGGTTTCCTTGACGGACACATTAAGGTCAAATTTGGCCGCAGAGGGAAGAGGATTGGAGGGATGGTATTCACTCATCAAGCTCTCTTCGGAGCCACCTCTTTCCGCGGCAGCCTCCCAATTGAAGACCAGCTGGACGAGGGGGTGGCGACTTGGGTCGTGCCGATGCTCAAGAAGCTTAGTGATTTCTTGGAAAGGAAGATCTTGATGGACATGCGAATCCAGAAGCTCTTTTCGCACATCTCTGACAAGTTGACAGAAGTTCGTTTGCGCTACTTGCACGCGTAGAGGGAGTAGATTGACGAAAAACCCGATGGAAGATCCGAAGTCGGGGTGCATGCGATGGGACATTGGGATTCCGATGGTGATGTCCTGTTGGTTGGTGTAGACGTTGACAAGCAACATGAAGGCCGACAATACCACCGTATACAGCGTTGTGCCCTCACGCTTTGCGAGCTCTCTCAACTTGATGACTGTTTCTCGTTCAACATTGACCTGGACATCAGCCCCGGAGAAGTCGAATTGAGAGGGACGAGGACGATCCGTAATAAGCCGCAAAGGCTCAAGGTCGGCGAGCTTTTGTAGCCAGTAGCCGCCGAGGGAACGGCGTTTCTCAGAAGTGAGTATTTTCTGATGCTCTACAGCATACTCCTTGTACTGAACGCGTAGGACTGACAGGCTGTTGTGGCTTGGACTCCCGCACCGAGCAGAGTATAGGACTTGAAGATCTCTCTCGAATATGTCCCAAGACCAAGAATCGAAAGCGAGATGATGGAACAGAATGCTCAGGAAAGTCGGCTTGCTTCCGCCCGCGCTGAATGGCTGGTAGAATTGCAGACGGATGGGGAGCTCACAGCTGATGCTGAAGTTGTGTGTGTCGAACTGAGCCATTTGGGCTTCCATCTCAGACGGTGAGAGATCGGTCAAGGTTTCCATCTTCAGAAGACTCTTGGCTGTATTTTGATCAATAATTTCCTGGTGGTATTGAGAGTTGGAACACTTAAATAATGTTCTCAGTGCTTCGTGTCTCGCAACCACGTCATGGATTGCCTCCTGGAACGCGTCAATGGCAACATCGTCTCGTAGGCGGCGATGGAAGGGAACGTTGTACGCTCCGTTTTCAGCACGGCCATCTGTATTGAACTCGTGAAGAAAAATGAGCCGTTCCTGAGCCGGTGAGATTGGAATCTGGTTGAGAGCATGGCCTTGCAAGCTCGCAATATCGCTGTGGCCATCCGAGCCTCGAACAACCCAGTTTGACATTGTCTCAATGGTCGGATGGCTGAACAAGTCGCGCACAGTGACTGAGACACCCAGCGCCGCGGTTGCAGCAAAGGAAAACCTGGTGCTCTTGAGACTGTCGCCGCCCAGACCAAAAAAGTCACTGTGTATGCCGATGCTTGCTTGGGGTATGTCCAGAAGCTCTGACCAGATATTGGCCAATATCTGCTCGATTTCGGTACGGGGCGCAATGATCCCGTCCTGGTCTGCCTCCTCCGGTACTGGGAGAGCTTTAGAATCAAGCTTTCCGCTTACTGTGACCGGAACCTTGTCGATCCTCACGAGCTTAGCGGGAACCATGTAGTCCGGGAGTCGCCCAAGCATGAACCGACGAATCGCTCGAGTGGACAATGAGCCAGCAGATACAAAGTAACCGATAAGCTGATTTTGACCATCTGTTTCGCGGTTCTTTGCCAGAACTACAGATTGGTCGACTTCGGGATAGGATGAGAGTACTGCCTCAATCTCCCCGAGCTCGATACGCTGACCTCGGATCTTGACCTGGAAGTCATTGCGTCCCAGATACTCAATCTCACCGTCGCCGATCCATCGGACCAGATCTCCAGTCTTATACAGACGTCCATTGCGACCTTGAGCTCTCTCAATGTCCTTCTGAAAAGGGTTCATTGGGAACCTCTCTGCTGTTAGATCAGGCCGGTTGTGATAGCCCCGAGCAACTCCGTCGCCGCCGAGGTAGAGCTCACCCACGGCACCGATTGGGACACGTTTCATCTGAGTATCGACAACGTAGCTGGTACTGTTTGCAATCTGCTGGCCAATACTCTTATCTGTGCGTCGCTCTGGAAACGGATACAGCCGCTTGTTTGTCGTGATAGACACCTCAGTCGGCCCGTAGCCGTTGATGATGAGTCCCGAGAACGTGCTGCGAATTTTGTCAAAGACTGGCTCACTGAATGCCTCGCCGACGCAGTCGATGCGTCTCAAGTGTGATGCGAATCTGTCGAACTCGTACATGGAGATTACCGATGGCGTGCCAGAGAGGTAAGTGACGCGATTGGTTTCCATGTACCTGTATAACCTCTCCTTGTCGCCTCTCATGTCGTCGTTGAGCACCACAAGGGTCTGGCCATTCAGCAATGCATCTGTCATCTGCTCAACGAAATGATCAAAGACGTAATTGGAGAACGACAGGATGACTTCGTCGTCAGTATCCTGCAAACCAAATGTCTGACTGAGCGAGGCACACAAATTCACAACACCGTGATGCTCCACCATGACACCTTTTGGTCTCCCAGTGGTTCCGGAAGTGTACATGATGTATGCCAGATCTGCAGGGCTGCATGCTGTGGTTGGATGAAGGGCGGCTGGTTCGAGGCGGGAAGCAATATCAGACTCCAGTACCAGAACGTCATCTCGCGCCACTCGACACAGACGCTCGACATATTGGGCGTCAGTGATGACAGCCAGAGCACCTGTGTCTTCCAGGATGTACTGGATGCGATCGTCCGGGTATGCAGGGTCAATCGGCACGTAGGCACCGCCTGTCTTCCAGATTGCCAAGATGTTGGTGATCATGTGCTCGCTCTTGTGCTCGCTCTTGTGCATGACCAGGGCAATGATTTTGTTTGGTTGGACAGGCACCCTTTGCAGAAGCTCATATGCCAGTGAGTTTGCGCGGCTATTCAGCTCTCGGTATGTCAACCGCTGGTCTTCGTACACAACGGCTACCTTGTCTGGCTTTCGTTGGGCTTCAAGTTCGACTAGAGCATGCAGCGTTGTGTTTGGATACTCGCACTCGGTGGCGTTCCATTGGTCGAGTTTGGCTCGTTCCTTGGCTGATAGGAACTCAAAGCTAGACACGTGCATGTCGAGGTTCTTTGACACACAGTCGAATACGTCCCGGACCGTCTGCAAGAGTGTATGGATGCTCTCGTCGGAGAAGAGCTCGCCAGCATAACACACCGTAAAGGGGCAGCTGCCATGTCCATTCTCCCTGGCAATCGCTGCAAGTGGGTAGCTGAGCTTCTCCAAACCGCCTTCAATTATATACCGCAATGTTTGGCGGTGGATTTCTCTGTCCGTGTCCAAATTGGGGTAGTTCTCCAGCACAAACAGTGAGTCGAACAAACCATGCTTCAAATCAGCCTTTAGCAACCGTCCAAGCTCAGCGTTGCTGCGGAGATTCATATCGTTGGCTCTTTCTTGGACGTAGCCTAGGGCTTCAAGAACAGTCATGTTCTGACTGCCAATGTAGCCATGGTCGACGATCAAGGGTAGTGTGTTGATGAAGAGTCCAATGGCATCTTCGATACCCTCCACTGGTAAATGCCGCCCAGACGATGTCGTTCCTGTAATGGTGTGGGTACCTCCACCGTATGAATGCAGAACCAAATGCCAGACAAGTTGGAGGAGGGTATGGAGAGTGATCCCATGATTGTCAAGCTCTTGCTTGGTGCTGCTGGTCTTCGAGTCTCCCCAAGGAAGCTCAACGGACTGCTGCCTCTGTTCCACGATTTCATCGTAGTCTGCCAGTGGCACTTTGTAACGGCTGGCTTCATTCAGGAGGGAATTCATGTCGCAGCGCTCTTCGATCCTGCCAATCTGAGTTTGCCAGAACTCCAGATGATCATCTCTGTGCTCTTCGAGGTACTTCTGGCATCGGATGTAAGCCGTATTCTCCTTGGGAATGCACCCTTGCTCGGCGTTCTTGCTGAGGTATGCCTCGTGCACCTGGTCGAAAAGGAGCGGCAAGCTCCAACCGTCCATTATTGCATGGTGACAACTGAAAATGGACGTCTGCTTCCCATCCGGCAAGAAGACTAGGTAGACACGGAATAGAGGTCCTTTGTCTAGCTGGTAAGGCTCGTCGAGGTCCGATTGTTGCAGGCGATGGAGAAGGACTTGATTGTTTTCATTGCCTCCTTGACCAGTCAAGTCGATAATACGCCAATCCAAGCTGAGACTGGGCTCGATAAGTTGCAGAACATCGTCTTCCCAGACAAAGTGGACTCTCAACGCTGGGTTCCGTCTCTGCACTGCTCGCCAGGCGTCCCGGTATCGGTCAACATCCAGGGTGATCTCATAGTGGATAATTGAGTGCATTATGTATGCATCTGTCTTCCCCAGCTTGAGGGATTGGTACACAAACCCTTGTTGTAAGCTGTTGGCGGCGTACTGATGACTGCGAGCGGTCCCTCTCGAGGTACCCGTGTCTGCAGCCCCGTTGACGCCGTTCGTGTGCGGCTGGCTCTTGGCTCCGTTGGATACAGATTGCGAACCTCGCCTCTGATTACGCAAGAGCTTTGCCATGTTTTCAAGCGTCTTTGTCCGAAAGACCTCTTCGAGATTGATCGGCCGTTTCAGTTGTCGCCTCACCCGCGCGATTAGTTGAATGCATGTGATGCTATGCCCCCCAAGACGGAAAAAGCTAGAGTCTGAACGAATGGAAGACAGATCCACTCGTAGTGTTTCACTCCATATCTCCGCCAAACGTGCCTCGAGCTCGTCGAGGTGCTCTTCTGGCGAGCCGTTTGAGCCTGCCTCGACTTCGACCGCAGGCAACGCACGCAGGTCAGCCTTGCCGTTGACAGTGACGGGAATGGTTGGTAGCATGATCAGTCGTGTAGGTATCATGTACCGTGGAAGTTTGGTTTCCAAAAAGGCAATCAGATCACCTTCTGACACTGGATCTTGGTCGCAGACATAGTATCCGACCAAGTGATCCTGGCTGGTTTCTTGTCCTTGGCTAAGCAGCTTCTTCGACACGACGACACTGGCCCGGACACCGGGGTACGTCGCAATATTGGATTCGATCTCCCCAGGCTCGATTCGAATCCCGCGAAGTTTGATCTGAAAGTCGGCGCGACCCAGATACTCAACCTCACCATCGGAGAGCCAGCGTGCCAAGTCCCCGGTCTTGTACATCAGGCCATTGACGCCCATGGCCTTTTCTTGAGCCGTCTGAAAGGGATTGAGCAGGAACTTTTGTCGTGTGAGCTCTGGACGATTCATGTAGCCACGGGAAATGCCGAGGCCGCCCACGTATAGTTCTCCTGGTACTCCAATTGGCACCCTCTTCAGGTTTTGGTCGAGAATGTAGCACTTGACGTTACGCACAGGTCGCCCCAGGCTCATGTCTGTTCGTTGAGAATCAACATCGAATGATTTCAACGCGGTGACAAAGGCCGACTCGGTGAAGCCATATTCACTGAATATACGGCCTCGGAATCGCTGTCTGAGCGCCTGATAACGCGCATTGGTGAGCGTTTCGCCGACTAAGACGATGCGCTTCAGTGACGCACACGACGAGAAGTCATACTCCAGCAGCACCGACGCCGTCCCATTGAGGTAAGTGACACTGTTGTCTTTGAAGAATGGAAGCAGAATGTCCGGATCGAATTTTTCCTCGTCGCTGATGATGGCAAGCTTGTTACCAGTAGTCAGTGCCATCAACATTTGCCGCACAAATGGCTCAAAAACGTAGGCGGAGAAGAGCAAGATGACTTCGTCCTGGGCTCCGGCAACGCCATATCGACCCGCCAGATCTGTGATGCTGTTGACAACACTGGTGTGCTCTTTGTATATACCTTTCGGCAGCCCGGTGGTGCCAGAGGTGTAAGTGACATACGCCAACTGCTTGCTCGTGAGGGGAGTGGGAGATAGAAAATCTATGCACCCTGTAGACGTCCTGGTTGCTTGCTCATTGTTGTCGGCGGCTGCCAGCAAATCCTCGACGACGTAGATGCGAGTCTCCTTATCCTCGACAATATTTCCCCTTAGCCGCTTGGTATACCGCTGGCTTGCAATGATAACCCGAGCCTGTGTGTCATTGAGCACGAAGCGGACACGCTCATCTGGGTAGCCAGGGTCAACAGGTACGTGGGCTGCGCCAGATTTCCACGCTCCCAGTATGGTTGCGATCATCATGTCGCTTTTGTCGAGGAACAAGACAACGAGTTGCTCGGGCAGGACACTGAGAGAAGATAGCTGCTGGGCGAGACTGTTGGCGCGCGCATTAAGAGCGTCGTACGTGATTCGCTTCTCGCCGTAGATCAGCGCAACACTGTCCCCTTGCTGTTTGCAATGTCTTCAAAAAGATGATTGAGTCGTTTTTGAGATGGGTATCTGTCATCGGTCTTGTTCCATTCGGTCAAACGAGCCTCCTGTTCACCAGACAGGAGTTCAATATTCTTGACAAGTTGCGATGGCATAGTCGTGGCAATCAAGACCGTGTGAAGCGTGCTCAGAATACTTTCAATGACCACTGGGTCAAAAAGTGAACGATCATATCCTAATGTAAGCTCCCAGAGTTGGTTCGTGATGTTGACTCCGAAAATGAGTGGAAAATGGGGGAGTATTGCGTTCTCCCTGCCATATTCAAAAACAACAACGATATCAAGGAGGCCCGACTTTACAAGACGCTCCGCTGCCACAAGCTCCATGTCAGGACCGTCGCATGAGAACCGTGGGAAAGGATTTGCGTTTGCTGCCAACGCTGAATCCACTGTCTGGATGTCCCGGGTAGTATGATCCACCATGGAGGTGAGGGCAGTCCATGCAGATTGCCACGAGCTCTCGTTGCATTGAGGAAACAAAGAAGCAGAGACAGTGGTAGATCCACCTCCAAGGCCCTTCAAGGTTTGATGAACACCAAAGAGGATCAGAGCCTCTGGCGTCAACGCCCTCACTGAGCAGACATGCTTCAGACTGGCAAGTGAAGCCTTTGAGAATACAGTCTTCCTCTGTTCGTAGTCGCCATGGTTGGTATTCTCTCCCTTTGAAGCCATTTGGTAGCGTGTGGGCTCCCGACTAAGGCCACTCAGATCGCATCTTTCAGAGATCTCCTGAGCTGCTTCAGCCCAGATCTCTGGCGTTCCAGCCATGACCCAACATTCAGGTGTCATGTTCAGTGGCTGGGAAGCAGTATGAGGATACTGCGATTTCTCGCAGACCCCATTGAAGTTGTTTGCAAGTACTTTGATGGCAGTGGAACTTTCAAGGACATGTGTCCTAAAGACAATTAGTTACTGAACAGACTTGCATTCTAAATTCGTGTTCCTCACTTGGTCAGGGACACGTCGCCATCTGTTTCTGTTGGAACTGCCATAATTCCAAGCAAGGATGCTGACGATAGTGTATATTGATCCGCTGGTGTTCTGTGCGTTATAGTCGGAGGCTTGACGGTACCACGTTCATCTATATATGGGTCAAGGCTCTTTCGAACCACGTATCCACTGGATCGACTGAACCCTCGCATTCGGCCGTGGCTAGGTGCGAGCCATGCTCTATTATTCTGGTGTTTGTAGCCACCCGTGGAAAATGCCGCGATCCTATTCGAGAGGACCATAGGCAGCTTGATGCATCACGCGGAGCCCAAGTCAATTCAGCTGTCTGCAATGGCAAGGCAGACGCATGTACTCAGAGTCCGTTGCAGCTAGGGTTAGTCACTGACGCCGCAAACAATACTGATTTTGGCAGGTGTCGTCTCTGTAGCCTAGTTGATGTCTTTCTCTAGGCGCCGCAGGCCACAATTTATACCCATGCCCGAGGGAAGGTCTCGGCAGATAGACTGTGCCTAGACTCTTGATCTACCCATCTTTTCCAATCAAGACGTACCGTGCAGGGCCACTAAACGTCATGCGTGTTTCTCACATAAGCTCCAGTCCAATTTAGAAATTAATTCATGCATTAGCGGCCTTTGGTCCCTTCGCGGCTTCTGATTAGGGGCAAGAGGAGACACATGTGCACGATGGATGCAAGCACCTCGAGAGGGGGCGTTTGCGTGCACTGCATTGACCAATGCAACGTCATTTTTGATCTTTGCGTCTGCGAAGCCGCGGGATAGTGAAACGGTGCAATCGGAGCTGAAAAAAACTACGCAGGGACCGTATTGCCCTTTGTGTCGGTGGATAAAGGAGCCACAAGTCCTCCCCATCCCGTGAACTTACACATGCTTGTAGCAAGGGCGCCAGACATCAAACTTCCAGCAGCTTTTTCAGATTCGACTTTCCCTTTAACTCAGTTCCAAGATGGGTTCTTTGCCCGCTGCCAACGTGCCTCGAATTGACATCTCGCCTCTGTTTGGTGACGATGGCGAAAAGAAGGCCCAGGTAGCGCGAGCTATCGACGCAGCCACGCGTGACACCGGCTTCTTCTACGCTGTCAACCACGGTGTTGATCTCCCGTGGCTCTCTCGCGAGACTGCCAGGTTTCATCAGACCATTAGCGATGAGGAAAAGTGGCAACTGGCAATACGGGCTTATAACGAGAAGAACGAGTCCCAGGTCCGCGCAGGATACTCGCTCCCTATCCCGGGCAAGAAGGCTGTGGAGTCGCTTTGCTACCTCAACCCTTCATTTGGGCCAGATCACCCGCGCATCAAGGAAAAGACGCCAATGCACGAGGTCAATGTCTGGCCAGCCGAGGAGAGGCACCCTGGATTTCGGTCCTTTGCCGAAAAATACTACTGGGACGTTTTCGGCGTTTCCGAGGCGCTCCTGCGAGGGTATGCGCTGGCATTGGGCAAGGAAGAGAACTTCTTCACCCAGCACTTCCAGCGAGACACCACTCTGTCGTCTGTCGTTCTCATCCGTTACCCCTACTTGGAGAACTACCCCGCACCGGCAATCAAAACGGCGGACGACGGCACGAAGCTTAGCTTTGAGTGGCACAAGGATGTGTCGCTCATCACCGTTCTGTACCAGTCGGATGTGCAGAACCTGCAGGTCAAGACCGCTCAGGGCTGGCTCGACATTGAGCCTGACGACACTGGGTTCCTCGTGAACTGCGGTGGCTACATGGCCCATATCACCAATGAATTTTACCCTGCCCCCGTTCATCGCGTCAAGTGGCAAAATGCAGAGCGACAGTCCTTGCCTTTCTTCGTGAACCTGGGGTGGGATGACACTGTCCGTCCTTGGGACGCTGCTGCCAAGGACGGGGCCTCCAAAGAACAGGACACTTGTAACGAGAGCATCTCCTATGGCAAGTACTTGCAAGGGGGGCTGGTTGGGCTGATTAAGAAGAATGGACAGACCTAGCCGATAATCCAGGGCCGATACGGGACGTTGGCAGCAAGACTCCGTTCTGTCCGTCGAATAACAACATTGAGGGGTACACACGCACTAGGTGATACGTTTTAGCAGGAACAATCAATCCACCAGGCGCGTGCCGAAATCAGAGTGTATCCGATCCAGTCTGCAATGCCGATGCTTGTCATACGGTATACCACAACTCTCTAGGGTATAGGCTAGGGTTCTAATAGGCTAGAACCAACACTGACTGTCTTTAGCAAATACGTGGACATCAAATAATCGCCCAAGGCTTATGCAAGAAGTGTCGTAGTGGATGAACCAGGACAAACTCCTTGCCCACTAGTTTCGATCATTGGATGATATTACACGTTGGAACTCGAACGGTTCACCCCGACGACGGCACGTCGCGAAAGTTCCGACGATCCGTGATCCGTGGGCAGGGGTAGATGCAGGGGGTGAAGCCCTACGGAGTACAGTAGTCTAGAATCTCTAGGCTACATGTAGAAGTTAGATTGTCCGAATCACCAGACGGTGGTCCGACGGACGCTTCCCTCAGCAAAGACGTCGATGGGGACTGACGCGACGGGCGCATCGGAAAGTTCCACCGGCGGCCTGTAAATCGACTCTCGCATGCATGTATGTACGTAGAAAAGGCCAGACTAATCACACTTTCTGATGAGAATCTCCCTGCCAAGACTGCCATGAAGCCGAGCGGAAAGTCTTCGCTTGTAGCCGGCCTCCCAGTTTCTCCTGCGACAGAACTGCCGTGACACATCCGGCTTTACTGGGCAAATTTACCACGAACTATAATACGGAGTGCCGGTCAGTTGACGGTGTCCTACCGGAAGGCAGAGTCACTATAGCGAGTCTAAGCCCCTGAATCAATGTCTTGTAAAAACGTGGCCCCAATGCCCCACGTCAGTAGGCGATACATTAGTGATACCAATCAGTTTGAGTTAGCTCAAATCAGATGGGATAGTTTTATTAATAAGATTACGTGGCATCCCACCATTGAAATTTTATTACGAGAATACGGCGTTGCCAGGATATTTGCAGGTAGGCATCGCGCAGATACCCGGACAAGGCAGGTGACATGGACCCCGCCACCATGGCTAATATCCCACCGTGCGTACATGCAGCTAGAGGGACGTACGTGTGCCGTCTGGTCCATGCATGTTAGCGGAGGATTCACCGGCATAAATATATTGGCCGGCGGCATATGCCGGACGGGATCACGGCTTGATCGACATGGCTAGTGATGTAACCCATCATGGTGTGCTGGAATACGTAACATGTGACTTGGCACCCTCGTCTAGTCCCAAGGTCTGATGTTCCTTTGACTTGCGGTCTTGGATCTGCGTCTCACAAGCCAAATCGCCTTGAATCACAATCTTCGGGAAAAGGCTGACAGCTCGCCAAAATCTGTAATGGATGGCCCCTTAGGTACGTGCAGCATTTGCTTCCAATCGGCAATGCCCCGGGTGCGACAACATGGACTCACAAACTTCCAGTGAGCCAGACTCTCCTGGCAGTCGCTGGTATCACTGCAGGAGCAGCATACGCAGATGCCAAGTTGCATCTCTCAAAGGACCTCAACCAGCTGTTCCGAGTACGAAAGGCGGAACACAATCTGGCTGATGCAGGTAAGCAATTCTGATTGCAAACCCGATCGCAATTCAGCTAATTGGGAACTTAGTACGTCAAAATAAGGCCTCTGGCTTCTTCCTTTTCGCTGATGCCGCGCAGAGACTGCAAGACGCGCCTTGCATTTGGTCTCGCGAGGTCGACTACACATGGAGGCAGGCCTACGAGCGGGTTTGCCAGTACGGCAATTACTTCAAGGGACTGCAAGTCAAGCCCTCGGAGCACGTCGCAATCTACATGATCAATTCGCCAGAGTTACTCCTCGTCTGGATGGGCCTATTGTCCATAGGGGCCGCTCCGGCGTTGGTCAACTACAACTTGGCCTCGGACGCCTTGATTCATTGTGTACGCTTGTCTGACTGTCGTATTCTAATGCACAGCTCCGATGCAGGCTGCGCGGGCAGAATTCACGATGCCGAGCAACACTTGAAAGACATGGGCGTCGTGAGTTTGGAGCTTGCAGGAAGTGTGGCGAACAGCATTGCCGAAACGTCGACGCAGACACCGCAAGTAAGCTGCTTCGAGGATTCAAAGATTCACCCACTCGCCATCATGTACACAAGGTAAGCCAAAAGATTTCTCTCATATGCTTCCTGGTCATTCGGCTAATTCGCACAAGTGGAACGACTGGCTTACCCAAAGCCTTTCCATTGACTGCTGCCCGTAATTATCCCTCGGCCTCGCTATTCCCAAAGACGTTTGGACAGACCCCAGGTCCCGGTGGTGATCGGAGTTATTACTGTATACCACTCTACCATGGAACTGGAGGTCTTGCTGCAATGAATGATTTGATGAGTGGCATCTCCATTGCTATCGCCCCAAAGTTCTCGCTGAAAGGTTTCTGGGACGATATTATCGACAGCAAAGCAACGATATTTGTCTATGGTATGTCATCCCCACAAAAAGCGTCTCAGATTGTCTGACATAAACTATTTGGCGAGCTGATACGCTATCTCCTGTCGGCCCCTGTGTCGCCTAAAGATCGAAAGCACAACGTACGGTTGGTGTGGGGGAACGGACTTAGTCCCGACTTGTGGGAAAGATTCCAGGTAACATTTTTAGATCTGATCGAGAAAAGCACAGGAAATTAACGCGTCTTTTCTACTCCTAGGAGCGATTTGGTGTGCCTGCCATTGGTGAATTTTACGCCAGCACCGAAGGCCCATTGGCACTCGTCAATCACTATCGTGGAGGTGGCTTTGGGCTTGGAGCTGTGGGACATCAGGGTTGGCTCCTGAGGAGGAGAAGCCGCGATTCCTACGTTCCAGTGGAAACTGAGGCCGAAACAGGAGATATCCGTAGGTGTCCAAAGACTGGCCTTGCCAAGAGACTGCCCTACGATCAAGGTGGAGAGGTCCTGGTCCAGCTCCCATCCGAGTCGGCGTGGGCTGGTTATCGGCAGGCTGACGACGCGACCGCGAAGAAGTTGGTGCACAACATCTTAAAGGAAGGGGACGTGTACTTTAGGACTGGTGACTCCCTGCGCCGCGATGACAATGGTCACTGGTATTTCCTCGACCGACTTGGTATGTGTCAAATGACTCCCCGTCTTTGATGTTGGAGCTGACTGTTCTTTTCAGGAGACACGTATCGCTGGAAAGGGGAGAATGTGTCGACAACAGAGGTGTCGCAAGTCCTGAACTCGGACCCCGACATTGCCGAGTCGAATGTCTACGGCGTGAGAATCCCAGGACACGATGGCAAAGCTGGCTGTGCTGCCATCATACTTAAAGACTCTGCCGACCGCGAATCGATTGACTGGACGAGGCTGACGGCACGACTGCGGTCCGAGTTGCCTCCTTACGCTGTTCCCATCTTTCTCAGACTCCGGGAAGCAGTGGGAGCCATGGTTACGGACAATTACAAGCAGAAGAAGGAGCCGCTCAAGCTTGAAGGCGTCGATCCTGATGCTCTGGGGTCCCGGGTTCCTCAAGGAGAGCGTGACCAGATCTTGTGGCTGCGTCCAGGGTCACCCAGGTACACGCTGTTCACGAGATCAGATTGGGCTGCAATCTCAGAGTCTCGAGCTAAGCTTTAGAAATAAATTGTGTAGCAATAATCAGAGGTCTTTCCGAGACAGAAGATAGTCGCATCAAACAGCAAGTCTGAATGATGATGCCGAGGATAGCTCATGGTGTCATGTCGGTCCCCGTCATTCCCGGTCAACTGCTGCCCGAGGAAAGGCTATAATTGCCCGAATGCACCAAAACATGCACACTGCCAGCTCAGTCACCTTCCCAGAGCGGATAATACAGCGAATGATCTTCAGTGTGCTAATGCCGTGCCTGGTCGTACCGTGATCAAAGGCCCCCGAGCCTACTTCCCCTGTAGCTCTCTCCACTCATCTCGCCTGCAACTGACGTGGAAAACTCAACGCACGCCTTCCAGCAACATCATAAGCACAATGGCGCAAGACCACGAGACTCTCGACCTAGAAAACCTTGACTTGCGAGACACAGCCCAGGAAACGGACGTCTTGGTCGACTTTGAAGGTCCCAATGATCCCGAAATGGCGGTCAACTGGCCAGTGTCAAGGAAATGGCTCATTGTGTTTGTCCTCGCGGCCATGAGCTTTATTGTGTATGTTGTAGGCCCGTCATTGCGGTCCGTGTTTTATTCACTAATTGCGTGCGTGCTCAGCGCCCTGGGCTCGTCAATTGCTGCGCCGGGAGTGAGTCAGGCTGTGCTCGAATTTGACCAGGACAGCGATATACTCGGTCCTTTTGTCGTCAGCGTGTATAACGTTGGACTGGCACTTGGACCACTCCTCGTCGCACCCATGTCCGAACTCCATGGCCGTCTCATCCCTTACCATGTCACCAATGTTCTGTTCACCCTGTTCACCGTGGGCTGCGCGGCGAGCCCGACCCTAGGAACCCTTATTCTCTTCAGGTTATTGGCAGGAATGGAGGCGTCAGCAGTATTGACAGTCGGGGGTGCGACGGTGGGCGACCTCTTTATTCAAGAAGAGCGCGGCCGAGCCATGGCTGCGTGGACTTTTGGTCCTCTGATGGGTCCAGCTATCGGACCTGTGCTTGGAGGCACCGTGACTGAGCTGAAGGGGTGGCGATGGGTTTTCTGGATAGTTGCGATTGTGGTATGTGTCCCCAGCGTGCAAAAGCACATCACCAACAGCCCACGACGTCCTGGTGTGGCTGACAATTATCGATTGCATCGAGCAGGGTGCTGCTACCACACTGCTCTTCTTCATCGTTGTACCAGAGACCTATCCTCCTGTTATACTCCAGCGCAAGGTGAACCGGCTCAGACGAGAAACTGGGAACAATTCCTTGAAATCAAGCCTAAGCGACGATCTTAGCCAACGAGAGCGTATCCTCCGATGCATACGACGTCCGTTCATTCTTCTGTTCCGCTCACCCATTGTTCTCCTATTTTCAATATTCATTGCAATTGTTTACTCATACCAGTTCCTCCTTTTTGTCACAATACCCACCGTCTTTGGCGAGATATACGACTTCTCAATCGGCGAGATCGGACTCGCATACCTTGGCATAGCCATTGGTCTCCTCATTGGGAACATGATTTTCGGCTTCGCTTCCGATCGACTTCTCTCGAGAATGAGCCAAGGCAAAAGTCCCAAGCCGGAATTTCGCCTTCCCCTCATGATACCAGCGGCGCTTTGCATACCAGCCTGCTTATTCATGTATGGCTGGACTGTCCTTTACAAGGTCCACTGGATAGTCCCTATATGTGCCACCTCTCTTTTGGGGGTAGGCCTTAACCTATCCTTGGTATGGACTGCTATTTCGCTGGCCGTGGCATTCAATTTGGCTGACTCACATCGCAGATGTCAGTTCAAACGTACCTTGTGGATACATACACCATGTACGCCGCGTCTGCATTGGCTGCCTTGGCAGTTCTGCGATCTATCCTGGGCGCTTTCCTCCCTCTGGCAGGCCCGCCCTTGTATCGTGCTTTGGGTCTCGGCTGGGGAAACTCAACCCTCGGGTTCATTGCGCTGGCCCTGGTTCCGGTGCCGCTCCTGTTTTTACGGTATGGCGAAGCTGTGCGGACGAATCCCCGATATCAACTAGATTTGTAGGGCAAGCAGCGCTTTCACAATGGATGTACAGAAAGTGTGCCAAAAAAACAGAAAGGCACCCGATTTATATTGTTTTCCCAAGCCTGGGTTGGAAGAGGAAACACTAGGAAAACAGGTGAGAGGGAGGAAAATTGAGCCGTACCAAACCTAGTTGGCTGCGAATCCGTGTGTCTAGATGTTAACGGTATTTGTTTCCCTGTCATTTCGAGTAGTGAAACCGCCGAACTTGAACTTTGTCGCTGCTACAGGGTAGGTCGTGAATCGTTGCTGGCCCCCGAGGCACCCTGATGGACTCGGGGATAGTCTACGTATTTCTGCACCAATAGAAGCACACTGGCTTACAACCTACTCCGTATTCCGCAATTGCAAGAATATTCAATTTTAACACAATTTTCTCCTCCCTAATACAACGCGATTATGCCATTCGGCCGAAATTTGCTCATTGCGTGCGGTACGTAGCAGCTAATGATTCTGACTAGCTCGCTAGTGAACCTGTAATCTCCTCATACCAGCCGCGTGGTTCCTGATGGTGGTGTCAATTTATCCAAGACGCCATCATGCAGGACACCTTGACAAAGGCTCAAGGGCGCTCTGTTGTCCTCAAATGTTCGGGATCTTTATCATGAGTCAGATTGTCGTCCACGTGCTTTTGCCATGCTCGCCGCATTGCCACACTGCCTACATGTATGTGGACAACGCAGGTTGCAGTCGCCACAACTTGCTGAGACTTCTTGTTCTAACAGGGTAGCCAAGTCAGCTAGATTCACGCATCCATCGGACCAGAGGAAGTTGAGCCTGGCTTACAGGTTGCAAACTACGCCGGTCCACTGCCTGGATAAGGCCTAGCAGAGTTTGACTCGACAAATTGGGTTCTTGGTCCGTCGAGGCTATGTTGGTGCGGGGGTACGGGGGCACTGCGGGGAAGCGAGTGGAAGCTGACTCTCGAATCCCTGAGCCAATCGAATAAGCAAAAGATCAAGCTTAATTTTAAGGTCAGGGCTGAGAACTGCCGAATCTCTTGGTCTTGCGACATTGGGCTCCAATCGTATGGAAAGTCAAAGACGGCCAGAACATGAAATCACGCTCTACAACTTCGAGCAAAGGCCATGGATCCGCAAAGTTCGTGGGCCTTGGGGAGAAAGCGTGCATACTTCTTCTGCACCCATTGGCGCCAACGATCTACCGTGTTCGGTTCCGTCGCGGCAGGTATCTCCATTTACGCAGCCCGCTGCCTGGAGTGGGCTGGGGTCGACTCAGGGATCTGATAGCTTATAGGCTATAAGCTGGGTCCATGGCGTGCACAGCACACAGACCCTCGTGGCCCAATGGCAACCCTTGCTTCACACTCCGCACGGGCCTCAGAGTAGCACTCTTGACGGAGCCGGGCCTCACTTGGACCTATCACCACAAGACTCGACCTGGTTTGGATCATCATGCTTGGACTTGGCAAATCTGACGAGACAAGGACAATTCTTGGCAGCAAGATAAGGGGCATTTCCCCTCCTGGGGAAATCTGGGGTTTTGTCCTTTGGCCCGAAAGCCCATACCCACGCGCGCGCTGCTGGCAGCACATATAAGCTGCGCAGGCCGCCGATTCCAAGCAGGCCGACTCGGCACGCTCACACCTTCTTCTCTCGCCGTTCATCATCTCATTCTCCAGCCGCAACCATGGCCCCCGAAGTCGATACCCTGGTGGACACCGTCCACACCGAGAAGTCGTCCACTGGCTCGATCAAAGATGCGTCCACGTCGGTCGAGCATGCCCCAGCTCCTCTCCTCGTTGACGCGGAGACGGAGAAACGCTTGATCAAGAAACTTGACCGGCGCATCATCCCCATCTGCTGCTGGATCTATCTCATGAACTTCATGGACCGAGGTGAGTCAGCAGCCCGTACACCGTCTCCAACCTGAAGCTGACCCTCGGCAGTCGGTATCGGAAATGCGCGTCTCTTCGGCATCGAGGAGGACCTGGGCATGACCGAGGGCAGCAGCCAGTTCCAGCTCGCCGTTTCGATTCTCTTTGTCACCTACTGCCTATTTGAGACGCCATCCAACCTCATCATCAAGAAGATGAAGCCTGCGCGGTATTTGTCAGGCCTCATCTTTTTTTGGGGCCTCGTCGCCACGTTCACCGGCTTCGTCAACAATTACGCCGCTCTCATCGCCTGCCGTCTGCTCCTGGGTCTGTTCGAGGCGGGTCTGTTCCCCGGCATCATGCTGTACTTGACCACCTTTTACACCAAGAGACACATCTCTCTACGCAATGCCTACTTCTACTCCATCTCGGCCATCTCTGGTGCTGTCGGTGGCCTCGTCGCCTACGGCATCGGCCAGATGGACAATGGCGGCGAGGGCACGGCCGGATGGCGCGCCTGGCGCTGGCTTATCACCATCAACGGCATTTCCACTGTCCTGACGGCGCCGCTGGTTCTCTGGATTCTGCCCAACGACCCCGAGACAGCAAGCTTTCTATCCGCTGAAGACCGTCAAAACCTCGTCCTCCTGCGTCAGCAGGAGATCGGACAGACAGCGGCCGGCCAGCAGATGCACAAGGAAGATGTCATTGCCGGAGTCAAGGATTGGAAGATTTGGGCCCTGTCCTTCGCCCAGTTCTGCAGCCACTCGGTGCTCTATAGCTTCAGCGTGTTCCTGCCCACCATCATCCGGGACATGGGCCAGGAGGACTGGGGCAGCGCCGAGGTCAATGCCCTCACCATCCCCGTCTACATCCTGGGCTTTGGCACCTACCTCACCGCCGCCATGTACAGCGACCGAATCCAGCAGAGAGGCATCTTCTGCGTAGGAGGTGCAGTCGTCATGATCATCGGGTACGCCCTTCTTCTCGCGCACAGGTCCGTGGCCATGAGCTTTGTTGGCTGCTTCTTCGTCTCGGCTGGCCTCTGGACCTGCTCTGGTTCAGGCATGGCCTGGATCACCGTCAACCAGCCTCGGTACGGCAAGCGCGCCTTTGCCAGCGGCATCTTCATCACCATCGGCAACGCCGCAGGTGTCCCTGCGCCATTCCTCTACACCGATGAGTACACCCCCCGATACATCCCCGGCTACAGCGCCGCCATTGGCATGCTGGTCTTCGCCATGGTCGTTCACACCACGCTGTACTTCCATCTGAGGAACAAGAACAAGCGTAAGCTTGCTGGGCTTGAGGATTGGAGAATGGAGGGCAAGACGGAGGAGGAGATTAACGAAATGGGAGAGCACAACCCCAGGTACCTGTACACGCTATAGGCGGCCTAGGACCCGAGGACTTGCATATTTTGAAACTTTATGCAATCTCCATTGACTAGATACACTCGAAAATTCAGTTTAAACGAGCAAGTGAACTACAGCGCACAGAAGACATCCCCAAATCGCGGATTGAAAGGATGCTGCACTGTCTTCGTTATCTTCGTTTTCCTGCTCCATGAACTGTTCATACCGAACAGCAATTTCCCATCTTCCTCTCCGTCCAGGGTGGTACTGTTGGCTTTGATCAACAACCCCTCAAATAACAAGCTTACATCCAGTGTAATGTTCCAAGGAACAGACGCTTCGACAGACGAGTTCTCATCGTTGTTCCTCGATGTAAAGGGCACAAAATCCGAAAACTCAAAGGGTGTCGTGTCCGAGCAGACCCCTCCCTTTCGTGCTCCTTTCCACGGCACAGCCTTGTCCAGTGTGGCCTGAAGTGTCCACCGCATCTTCTCGGCGCCAATGTCCTCCATCTCGACGGTCGCCCCCTTCTCGAGCCACACGGTGGGCTCTGTCGCCTCCCATATGTCATTTTCCTGTCTCCGTATCGCCTGTCCAGCAGCGTCGTGTATCGCCTCGATGTCGTCCTCATCATACCAGTCGTCTAGTAACTTTTGGTTGTATTTGCACACGTCGCTGAGCGTAATGTACTGACTGGTCCTGAGGCCAGCCCTCCAGTCCGGGCTATTCCTATAAGCTGGATTGTCGACGTCGAGCAGCGGTGGCATCTCGGTATACACTGCTTGCGCCGAAAATGTCCCGCCATCATCCGACGCCACTGTGGTTTTCCAGTAGACTCGAGTGGTTTGGTCGTACTTGGTGGCGCCGGTTTCTTCAAGGTGATCAGCGAAGAAGGGCCGGTAAGGCGTGTCATACAAGTACGTCTTGTTGGTCACAACAAAGTCGCTCGATCGAACGTACACCCAACGTTGCAGGAAATCGATATCATCCTGCCGGTACGGCTGCTGATGGGAGGGCTGAAACCCTCTCAGGACCCAGTGCATGGGGTTGGTATCCGACTCATTGCCTGTTGGGGCAATCAGGATCATGGCCGGATACTCGTATGATTTGGGCGACCTATCGTCGTTGTCGCATTCGCTGGTCACAAGGTCCTTGTTCTCGTCGTCCCATGCGGTGTTATGGGTCATGTTGTGTCGAATTGTCAAGGTGCCATTGTAGTAGAGTCCAGGCAGGCCAAAGGTGTCCTGCCGTGCCCAATAGCCACACGGAGCATTATTGTCTGGCAGGCTGGAGCCGCCATCTATCCCGTTGTCGGAGCCGCCGCCGTTGTCACCATTGTCATCGTGGGTCACAATCTCCCCCTCCTCCGAAGTCACCACCTCCTTTCCTCCTCTGAGCTTCCACCAGACCCAGTAGACCTAGAAGAGGTAGCGACTTGATGTCTGGTTGATAATGCATTGCTTGACGGCTCTATTGCGGGAGGATGCTTCTATGTCAGTGGACAGTGGGACGCCAGAATTTGAACGTGTCGGTGCCTTGTGCGGAAATGCGAAAGCAGCTGGAGGTTGCGTCTCGAGGTATTGGGAGAATCAGCATGATGACATTTGACATTTTGAAAAACATGAGCCCGTGATCTGGAGTTTTGAAAGAAAACTTCAAGTTGTCGATTCCGGTGCCACTGGTAAATGTTCTCTGGCCAGGGACCACTCGGAGGCCACTTCCGAAGCTAGGCTCGTTGAGTTGGTGGTGATGAGGGTAGTCTAGATTGTGTAAGCGGAACTCGGCCTCCGTGGTCTTTGTAGCCACCAGGTATTTAAGTCTTTAGATAGCTTGTTCAGTTGTCGTTCTTCTTCGGTAACTGTTTTTACTTCAGCTCTTCAATTTCTTCTTTCAGCAATCACAAGCAATCATGGGCATCACGGGCGCACAATGGACGCAGCTGGCTTCGGCAGACCGCCTTCGTCGATCCTCGCAGGCGGTCTCTGTTGTCGGCCCCAACATCTACGTTTTCGGTGGCGAATTGGCTCCAAGAAAGCCTGTTGATAACTTGTTCGACATCTTGGACGTCAAGCAGCCTGCGCTGAAGACGGTGGAAGCCAGTTCAGGCACGGCACCTTGCCCCCGTGTCGGCAGCCCAAGCGCCACCATCGGGCAAAAAATCTACCTCTTCTCAGGACGCGGAGGCCTTGAAATGCACCCTGTCGAGGAGGACGGGGCATTGTGGGAATACAACACGACGGAAAACTCTTGGCAGCTCATCAAGCCGACAGATCCCCAGGCTCCCTTTCCCGTTGGTAGGAGCTACCATGCGATCACATCAGACGGCAACAGAACGATCTACGTCCATGCTGGGTGTCCTGAGACGGGCAGGCTCTCGGACATGTGGGCGTTTGATGTGCAGGAGAAGAGCTGGCGCGAGTTGGCTTCTGCCCCGGAGCCTGCGAGAGGCGGTACTTCAATCGCCCATGTCGGAGGCAAAATATATCGTGTGGGAGGATTTGATGGCAAGACCGAGCAGGGGGGTGCTCTCGATATCCTGGATGTTGGTCAAAACAAGTGGTCTTCGGTCAATTACATCGCAGACAATGCCCAAGGCCCCGAACCGAGGAGTGTCGCGGCACTGCTGGCACTAGAGTCCAAGTACCTCATCTCCCTGTTCGGCGAGCGCGATCCGAGCTCTCTTGGTCACGCAGGCGCGGGCAAGATGCTGGGCGACGTGTGGGCCTGGGACATTGAGGGGGCCACCTGGCAGAAGATCGAGCCTTCAATCGCCGGAGATGCGCCTGCAGCTCGAGGGTGGTTCGACGCCGATGTCTCCCTGAATGAAGGAGAGGCTCCCACAGTCATTGTTCATGGCGGGCTCAGCGAAGACAATGAGAGGTTGGGCGACGTGTGGATATTGAAGTTTGCGCGAGAGTAAAATGAGCCATGGTGCTGCAGCCTGGATCTTTCCTGATAGTTTAATGTTGGTGATGGTCCATTTATCCAGCTTCAACGATCGTCTTCGCCTTGAGCGGCTTGGGAGTGAATGCTGTCATGACTTGTTCACGAAGACAAGCGTAATGTTTTGTTGGGCGCGTCGTCGGCGCGCGTTGAAACTTGGGTCCTTGGATTTTCGACTCCTTTCGCGATGCTTGAGACTCTGCCCAATGAGAAACCTCAAAACTGCTTTATGTAAGCGGCACAGAACCTCCGTTTAGCTCCACTCTAGCTGCATCGGTCTCGCCTGCCGACGTTAGCGCCTTCCATTTCCTCTCACTCGCGCGTTCTTTCCACGGACGCCGAACCTCCGTCAGCATCAGCATGTACGCATACCCACGCATACGTGCGGTCGCCACGTCCTGCGATGCCTCCTCGGCGGGCGTGTGATGTCTGTTACAAGCGAAAGGTATGGTTTGACGTTTGGATCAGATTGGCAGACGCGTCAATGCTCATGTTGTTCTACTATCTAGATTCAATGCACGATTCCTGTTCCAAAAGCGCCTTGCGAGTGGTGCAAGCATCGCAACGTGCCTTGCACTTTCACCAGGGAGAAGAAGAGAAAGTCGGCGTGAGTTATTCTGCGCACTCTGATACATGTATGACGAGCTAACGTACTGCAATTAGCATCTCAGGTGAAGATGCGCACGCGTTGTTGCGCCGAATTAGTCACCTTGAAGAACAGCTCACGCAAAGATCTTTGCCAGATCAACATCATGCAACTCAACCATCACCAGAGCCCATAGATGCCAGCTCTTGTCCTGCTTCAACCGGAGTCAGGGAGCCTCCTGCCGGTCTTGCCGCGCCCACCGCCCCTGAGCAAGCGCAGATATTAGACCTGCCGTCAACTGCTGCTATCTCCCCAAACCCAAGCTTCTTCTCCTCCAGCACCAGTTGGAACTCTTTCAATGCTGATGAAAAGTACAATGGAGTGAACTGGTACTTCAGAGGCATCCCGATTGTGTCAGAAACTGGTCAAAGATGGATCTCTTCAAGAACAGGTCAACATGGTGCACTGCCCAAACTCTTCCTCCTCACCTTGAAGTCCGACGTCGTCCTATCCGACACGTCAAGGCCGTCTTCCGAGATCTGCCAAAGGTCTATTGGTAGCTTCCCAGACGTGCTATTAACGCATGTGGCTCTCGATCTTTTCCTCAAATCAAGATCCCGATTCATTTTCAATGTCGTTGATCCCGTCTTGTTCATGGACACAATACGCATGGCGCACACCCTCGAGTGCAATGAATCTTCTATGGAAGCACGAATCTCTAGCCAGGCATGCGTTTGGGCTCTGCTTGCTGTCACAGCTCGATCAAACGCAATCAGAGACGATCCCGCCGTTGAGGAGGGCCAGACGTCTGCTCGCAAAGCAGAGGCAGCTTTGGCGCTTGTCGCAGAAAGCCCAAGCCTTGACAGCCTGCAGGCACATCTAATGCTGGTAAGTACTGCCTGGTTTGTCAGCCTTACAGTGAAACTCACACTCAGCGCAGCAAATGTTTCGAATATCGAGGGGGTATTGGGAGAAGGCTAGCATGTTACATTCACTGCTCTGTCGTATGGTATGTGATTTGGGAGGACACCTCCCTCCACCAATAATGGCCATGTCTGCCGAGGACCTTCCAGCCGATCGCGCCCGCCGCCATATCAGAGCTCTGTTTTGGGTGTGCTATGCGCTCGACAAGGACATCGCACTACGCTCTGGAAAGCCGCCTCTTCTCGTGGGCGATTATTGTGACATGACGCTGCCACAGAGGGACGACGAAACTAATTCAGGGCAACACACAGCCAGTATTCACTCGCTTCGACTCAGTATCTTTAAGGAACAGGTCTATCGCTTCCTCTACGCCCCCGGAGCCTTTGGCATCCCGGACTCTCAGCATTTGCTCCGGCTACGCCACCTGGATGACGAACTCGAAAATTGGCGTCTATCTATCCCTCCAGACATGAGGCCCACGCTTGCCCATCCGCCCGAACCAGCTGCCATCACAGCTGACGCCAGCCCTCCCAAGATCCTTCAACGTATAAATCTTCAGTTGGAATATCGATATATCTTGACCTTGATACATGCGACAGTCCGGAGATGTGGCGCTGCTCTAGTCGAGCGGGCAGAGATGCCAGAAGACTTGCACAGCGTGGCCCACTCGAGTAGTGAACTTACCTTGGAAGCTGGACGTTCAACAATCATCATTTTGAAGGAACCAATCCATAGACTGGGGGAAGAATCTTTCTGGTAAGACTATTCTAACACACTGATAACACGAAGCTGACCTATGTCTAGGCACATCGCCTTTTATGCGCCCATAGCCGCCATGTCCTTGTTCGTCAACATCCTCATCCATCCGCTGGGCGAAGGCGCCGACTCCGATCTTGAACATCTCACAACGGCCGTGGGAGTTATCCGTAGCATACCACTGGGCAACCTCTCCGCAGACGAGATTGACTACGTGCAGGCCATGTGTGATTTCATGATGGAGCTCATTCGGCTCGGCAACTGCGCCATTTGGAAGGCCAAGAAGGATGGGAGGTCTCGGTGTACTTGATAGCGGGAGTGTCAAAAAGGAGATCTACAGAGTCTCACGCACCGAGCATTTGGAATTCCAAGCAGCCGCATCTAAAACGTATACTCTGGACATTAGCTTAATTCGTCTACATTAACTCCGTTTGAAAAAGGAAAGTATCTTGCGTTTGGGCTTTTTTGTCTCCTTTGACCCATCGGGCGATGCAGTAGATGCTTCTGTGTTCCCGCCTTTTTGCCTGTTGCTCTGCTTCAACTCCCCGCCGACGCCCAATTGGTCTGTGTTGTCGTTCATCACCTGCTGGGCCATTGATATCGTATCTGAGCGTGCCAATTTGGGAGGCCCGATAGGTTCCCCCTGCGCTGGAGGTGCCTCGGTATCGGAAAACAGATCTATCACCTTACCGCGGCCAAACATTCTCTCGAATACGGCACGCGTGGTACCGAACTCTTTCTCCACGCTGACATCGATGGCGTCGAGAAGCTGCAATGCATATGTCTGACAGTTATTTGTAATGACGTTGTATGCCGGCTGAGCCTCCCTGATGCTCTCTATAACCATTTCGCCTGTGTTTCGGTTAGTATTCGTGGATAGATGTCACGAAGCCATCTGTTGGCGTTCAGGCGTACCTGTTCGACGGATTGCATCGTCGTTGAAGCGCGTGTCTCCTACCTTGAATGTTCTCCATTCATTGCGGTTGAACTTTTCATTGATATATATCACATAAAAATCTTCGTCCTGGATGCCGTTGGGACATATTAGTAACGTGTTACCTGCAACATGGTGCAGTGTATGGTGTCGAGAGTGATACTCACCATCCACAGCTGATGGGCATAGTCGCCCACGAGCACGGCCCAGTGCTGTGTGGGATCTGGGTACTCATTGACCTTCTGCGTTATAATCTTGCCCAGGCTCGTGTCTTCAGCGAACCATTTCCCAGCTGGGCCCGCGACAGGATGCCATCCAACTTCGACGGGGCGGGGCGGTCCGTCGAGAACTGGGGATGTGACGGGAACAACAATCGGCTGGTGGCCAAGACCGATGGCATGTTTCAGCGCGATTTCCCCCTTTCCAAACTGCTTTTGTCTTGACGCGTCGATTAGCCAAGCATCTCCTTCATTGCGCGCGGTGAAAGGCTCAGTTGTATCATCAAAGTCGAACGTCTTCATACGTACAATGACCTTCCCCACTTGTCGAGCTTGCCCTCCTTGTCGGAGGTCTGATCTTGCTCAGCCTTTCCCATGGTAGTCAAATGTTTCGCCGACGCGCAAGATGCCTCTTTTCGTTCCAGTTTCTTAAGTCACGCGCATCAACAGGAAGAGTGGTTCGTGTATCTGCAAGCGACAGTCATTCGAACATTGAAGGTTTTTGGCGCGCCGGCACGTGGCGCAGTAAGCCAGTGACGCGGTACGCGATCTTAGCCCGAAAAGGGGGGGGGGGGGGGGGGGGGGCGGGTTTTAGCAACCCGGGGTATAAAACATAATAAAAGTGAGGTACCCCACACAACCCCTCGTGCCGTTAATCCACGAAGGGGTTTAAAAAAAAAAATATTATAATGGGAG